CACATCCTGTTGAAAGGTGAGCTGAAGAGTCCCACTACACTCGAACAAACAGATTTAAATCATTCATCGGCACAACTGTGCAGAAAAGCACGGCCCCTGGCCATCTCTAAGCTTAAGTTTTTTGCCATTTATATGTAAGAGACAGCCAACTAAAGGTAAACTCTCAAAAATATGTAGTGCAAGCAAATTTGAGCGGCAACCGCAGCTTGTGGCAATCAGTTACCTGGAGACGTGGCATGTGGATGAAACTGCAAATGCTAGCCCATATTTGGCCATCATTTGAGTTGCCTCCAAGGTGCTGGCTGGCAACCGACACCCCGATGCAGAAGGATTTATACACAAATCTGTCTTTCAATTCAAATATGTACATCAGGTATGCATATACATATGTACATACATACATACTTGCATATGCACATAGATGAAGTTTGTAAATGCATTGGATTTTTACAATATTTAATACACTCAAAAAAAAGGAATGGTTGTCTTTAATCCTAAATAAGTTGACTCGAAGTAAATAAACCAAAAATAAATAAATATATGAAAACTTAATAATAAAAATTAAATTTTAATTTTAAATTAAATTATATATATTAAAATAATTAAAACTAAAATTTATTAAATTAATTAGTAAAATCAAAAATTGAAAAAAAAATCTTAAAATATTCACATTAAAATTAAATAATTGAATAATCATTTTTAATAATTTCTGGGACTAATTCCTTATATAAAAGTATTTAAGTAAAAACCAAAAAAAATAATATAACTAATTTATATGGTGATCCTAAAATCACTAACAGCTATAAATTAATCCCCAATCAATGAACTTTCGAAAGTAGACCACTTAAACCATTAAATTATTTAAACTTTTAAAATTATGTTTTATTTTTTTCTTTAATTAAATTATTATTTAAATTATTTAAACTTTTAAAAAATTATATTTTATTTTTGGTTTAATTTGACAAAAATAAATCGAGAAGCGATCTGCAACCTTTCTTTTCAGAAACAACAAAGTCAAAGAATATCTGGCAATGATTATTGGAAATATTCGATTGCACATTTCTGCTAGTGTGCCTCCAGAAAATCAGTTACAGTGAAGTGCCACGTTGCTTTTCTGCCCCTCACAGAACAATTGCTTGGGTTCCTTTCCTGTTGGTTTTCCCTGTAAAACTCTGACCTGCACTCAGGAACAGCAGCAAAGAAAAACAAAGAACTTCCCAAGTAGAGAAGGAAGAAGCGAGATGACAGGCGAACAAAAAAAATCTGAGCACCGAGCACCAGCAACAAGCCAACAAATTTAAAATGTGAAAACTTTGAAAGTAGTTGAAAGTTGGCAGCAAGCGGAACGAACCGCAGCCGCCAGAGACAGAGACAGCGACATAGATGGGGCTGGAGATGGGGCTGGAGTGGGGCTGCAGATGGGTGGCAGGAGGTAGACGTAGTCGTCTGCGGCGGTCTCCGCTGGCACGCTACGGGACTTGTCTTTGTCTACCCCTCAGGAGCAGTATAGTGGGATCCAGATCCAGCAGCGAGCAGGGAGCAGCGAGCAGGGTGCAGGTGCACACTGGGGCGCAGAGATACAGATACGGGCGCATGGAGGACTCAATGATTTGATGTAGCTGAAAATTTGCCGCTGAGATTTTCTTTGTGGTTTCGACTTCTTTTGATATAACATTTTCCAACATTGTGCACACACTCAAGGGCCCAACGCAGCAGCAGGCCGAAGGAGTAAGGCATTTCGACCAACCTGCCCCTGCCCCTGCCCCTGCCGCTAGCCAAACCCATACCCAATCCCGTGCTGTCATTTGCCAATTCAACTAAAACTTCAAAGAGCTGGCTGCCTGCCTGCCAATGCAGCCATCCCCCGCCGCCCGAAACGCCATTTTGGTTGAGCTCTACCCACGCCCACAACAGCCAGCGAGGAACTGGAAGTGGAGCACTGAGGGTTATGAAATATGACGAAATATGAACTGATATTCCACCCTCGAAGCTGGGCCCTGCTTTTGCGCAATCGCGCTTGAGAACCGCCCCCCCCCATACGTGCACGAGTACGTGGCCCGGGGCTGACCACAGACCACTTGGATGGCATGCCAATCAAGCTCTTGGATTGGGCTGGGCTGGGCTGGGTAAATATTATCACTACAATGCCGCAGAACAATGTGGAGACTAGTATGTGGAGGTCAGGCAGCCAGACAGACAGGCAGCCAGACAGACAGACAGCCATCCAGAGGTCATCAATCAAACGGCACTCTCCGGCTAAACCAATCATCCGGCCATCCAATCACCCAATCGCTCAGGCGTATCACAAAAACAACAACAATTTTCCAATTAAGCGACCAAAAATTTGAGCATATGATGATTATTGACGATAAGAGTCCCCGTGCACACACACACACACGTACACGAGGAATCCAGCCGGACTCTCAGCACTCAGAACTCCAGGACTTTTGGGCTAGCAAAATGTGCAAATAAATCGCACAATTGCTGTCTGGGGTGTGTGTGTGTGTGTGTGTGTCCTGTCCGGCCACACACCCGGGAATGGGTCGACCCGGACACCGTCCCGGAACATCGCTGCTATCTGCGAAAAGCATCGAAACTAAAAGTTATCTGCGGCCAAGGCAAACCAAAACAAAGAAACTTTCATTTCCAATTTTCTTGATGTATTAAATTATTTACGCCCTCTTGAGCAGAGGCTGTTGTGTGCGTGCCACTCATACCTACCGTACATGTGTGGCTACAAAGACGTAGTCCTGCACATTCATTTATGTATCTCATATATGTGGCTAAATATTTATCCACACGTGCGTACGTACAATTATGTACAATATATAGTATGTATGTACATATATATAGACTGATATGACACGACAGTTGGAGTGGTGGATGGATGCAATTTAGGGAAATTATTATATAATTATTCAAGTAACAAATCAAAGGGGAACTTCAAGTGCAGTGAAAAATAAACTAAATATCCTTTTGGACTGAGATCTTAATGTTAACTGACTTATACAGGGCTATGCTGATAAAAATAGTTGAAAATAATATTAATTTATTAAATAAAAAATATAAAATATGCCAGAAGTGTTTGGCGAATAGTTTTAATCAACCGATTTAGCCCACGGGCTCACATTCCACTGCCTATCAGTTTTCACAGGAGTAGCACCCATCTCGGGTTTTTCGACTCAATTCCAACTGAAATTATCAAAGAGTTTGCAATATTAAACTGCTTTTAGCCGTGCAGCCGTTTTGTTTCCCTCTACACAAATTACTGAGATACTTTCGCCGAAACTTCAGAGACAAATAGTTCTTCGGATGCAGAGTGCAACAAGCGGCATAATGCTGCACTCGTTTTGATGTGGATACGAGCCATAAATGGCAGACATCCCAGCTAGATGCAAGGAAAGTGTCTCCACAAAACACTTTTCACTGTGATCCCACTGTCGCCAGCTGATGGGTGGTGTGGTGCGCAGGCTACGGCATGGGTTGGGGTGGGTGTGGGGTATTGGGTGGCGTTGATTTTCACAGTGGCTGCGCAAGCGGCGAGCGAAAAGAAAATTTCTTAGCTGTATCCAAACTCAGTTTCACCCACTGGGCCACTGAGCCAAATGTGCAGCGATCACCTGACGGCATCGACATGAAATTCCACAGCCAAGGCACCATCCCCAGCCACAGCCACCAGTCACCGTCTCCCGCATGGTAGATGCAATTTATGATAACCAATTTGCGCGGCAACATCCATTCTCACACGAGCACAGCACAGCACAGCAGAGCAGAGCTCTGTTGGACACCATCCAGGCCCACGTCCAAAGGGGGCACCAACCAGCAGCAACCAGCAGCAACCAGCAGTAGGAGCAGCAGTGGCAGAGTCGTCTTGCTCTTAATTACTTTGCGGCACGCATCATAAAGATGCATTAGTTATTCAGAGCGGTTGCTGCCTCCCCGGGGCCTGTGCACATAACACTCGCTGCCAAAAGATCCGCTCAGCATTCAGCATTCAGCCAATAATAACCGTTTGGGCTCATTCAAACTCCATTCATTCTCTTTTTGGTGAATTAAATGCAAAAGGTCTACGAATACTGCAATGCATTGGGCTGGGGTTGTTCCACTGTTCTACTGATCGCCTTTCGAAAAGCAAACGATACTAGCTCGAGAGTTCCAGCTAGTTTCAGCTCCAACGACTGGACTTTAATGGAATATATTGGAGTTCCTCTTGATTAGCAGCCATACTTTTAAGCATAGAAATTTTATAATTAATTGGAACAGATAAGGCAGCGCCTGCAAACAGACCTTGAGACTTTTATTGTGCGTTTTTCAGAGGCTCCTTCGACTCATTGGAGTCACAAAGTGTATGGTAATAAGAGGCATAAGCTATAAAAACATTAAATCCCTTCTCCATCCTTCACTTCAATGACATAGAGAGACACAGAGATACCCTAATTGAATGCATTGCCCATGAATAAGTAATCATACCCCGCCTGTGGGAGAGAGCTGAATGCCAGATACATACAATATCTACTCGTACCATATAGAAATCGAAAAGTACACACTTTCTGGTGGGCAGCCGCGTCGATCGCGCGAGATCTGAACATGAATGGGCATCCATCCGTGGGTGAGTAACGAAAACATGTCAGCGGCAGTGGAGATGATTAGACCCAAAAAGACTCGGCCCAGTCGAACGCATAACAAAATATGGATAATGTTAATTGCTCCCAGCCGCTGCAGCAGCAGTAGCAGTAGATCTGGTGGCAGGTCCAAGCTAGATTTGTCTGCAACCCATTGGGGCACGCCAATTCTTTCCGTTTGAGTGCGCCGCCGCCGCCGCCGTCGACGACTTTGGCATGGTCGCAATTTATAAAAGCATCGCCGGCCCAGCGATTTCGCTGCAGTAGCATCCCACGATAGCTGGCGACTGGCAGCACTCCGTTGATAAGCAGCGTTCCACAGGATTAGTATCTGGATACGGCAACCCCAACACACACACACACACACACACACACATCATGAAGCGGTTCGAGTGGCTGCTAATCCTAGCCTGCATTGCGTCCTCCTCGGCGGCTGCTACGCAACGCCGACGACGCCACAGCGTTGTGGAGGCAGCTGCCACACCCAGCACCAGCGATTGGAGCATGGGACTTGGTTTCGGACCGGAGATGAGTCTGGTGCGGCGCTTGTATGACGATTGCCAGGACAAGAACGACTTCATTGGCTGCCTCAAGCAGAAGGCGCTGCACGCACTGGCGCGCGCCCTCGACCGGGACTCCATTAAGATCATGGACGGGCTGGTGCTGGAGAAGCAGAACCAGACCGAGACTGAGAGCGTCCTGGGGTCCCTCACGGATGCACGGCAGTTTGGCAGCCTCTCGCCCATAGACCGTGCCCTGCTAGCCAAGGCCGACAAGCTGCTGCGCACCCACACGCTGAAGCTGGACATGGACATGGGCATGGGCATGGAGTCGGGCGTGTCGGGCGTGTCGGTGGGACGCGGCGAGCATGGGCACAAGAAAAAGAAACAAAAGGAGGGTGGCCACATCAAGTACGTGATTGCCGCCTTGCTAACGGCCATGGGCATTGCCGGTCCACTGGGTCTCAAGGCACTGGCGGCGATCGCCGGCAAGGCACTGGTAATCAGCAAGGTGGCCCTGACCATAGCCGGCATCATCGCCCTCAAGAAGCTATTCTCGCACGATCACAGCGAAGAGACGAGCTTCCAGGTGCATGCAGGCGAGCACAATAGGTGAGTCGGCGTCATCGATTTTATGTTGGAGAGGGTCCCGGTCCGAGCATCTCTCTGCTTACAGGCGCAACACCTACGTGATTCGGCCCGTGTCCAAGACGAGTCCCAGCATGGGTGTGACTGCAGCCGGTGGCAGCTCTTCGGTGGATCCATATCGCTACTACTACGAGTCCCAGATGCAGTAACGAGTACCCGCGCGCACGCGCATGTATGTTTGGAGAAATCTTCGCTCTTGGCCGCGAAGTCCTGAGGCAGCTAAACTACCAAAGAACCGTACACAACAGCGCCTGGCGCAAAGAGCCTGAGCGCAGCAGGCCCTAACCTTATCGTAGATTTTAAGTTGTAGGTTAATCTATTTTACAGTTGGAGCAGCCACGTGCCCGCAGCGAAGGAACCCAGTCGGGCCCCTCTAGAGAGCCCTGACCGATTGATCGTAAATAATAAACAAACAAATATTGAGTTGTACCATACGAAAAGTGAAGTTTCAGCCGAGTAAACCGGTATGGCTTCGAACATTTTGAATACTTTCCCCAACAGATACAGCCTAAAACTACTTGGGACTCACACATTGGTGCCGGCTAAAAGCTACGAGAACTACGAGAAGTCCAGATGACCAGTTGAACAATCAGAGGAGTGATCTTCCATTGGCAAGATCTGTGTGCCCATGATTCTGTTCTTTGATGTTTAGAGACTATCAAGAACAATCCACCAGCTAAGCGGCCTGTCCCCATAGCTCTGTTCTTTGCAGATTATATGTAGGTACATTTTAGTAGTATTTATTCATTGGGAAACGTATTGGCTTGAGTATCACAATGAAAATAGTTAGTAACTTTTCGCTCCAAGCGCTAAGGAATGTGAATCAATTGAAGCACTGAGTTGTGGCACTGAGTTATAGGAATATATATCAATCGGAATCATCCGAGATAACGTAGCTGGGGCCTTTGGTAGCAGCTCGAACGCTGCTTAGTAGCGTCTGCTGCCTGGCCGATGAGCGCTGTTCGGGGTATGGAAAATGAACATTTTAATAGAGTAAATTCCAATCTTCTTTTGAGTACAAAAATGTAGCCTCACCGTATTATTCATAGACACATCCAGCTGGGGCTTGGCTCGTGTGGCAGCACTTGTGGCAGCAGCACCACGACCACGAGCAGCGCCGCGACCCCGTGATGCACGTCCGCGCCCACTGGTTGTGGCCGTGGATGTGTTGGCCTCATCTTTCGCTGCAAAAACGGAGCTCTCATCCTTGGTTTTGACGCCTCGAGCATCGAGCATTTTGAGCAGATCCTCGTGCTTGTAGCGTTCTCTGAAGTTCTCGAGCTCTTTACCGATATCCTCGTCGTTGGGCATTGTTTCCATCAAATGCTCCAGTGCCTTTTCCTTATAGAATCTGATGGGAAGATGAGCATTTAGACAAGGACAGACAGGCAGTTCATCGATCGATAATTTCCCACTAACTTGACAATATTTTCGGCCGCATTGGTGTCCCGACGCTCCACCAGGCGATAAGTCATCTCTGACAGCGCCTTCGAGTGGAGTAGCTTCAATGGTTTCTTTTTCTCCTCGAAATAGCGTTCCACCAACTCCTCTACACGAGTCGCGTTCTCCGCTTCCTGGAGGGCAAGATAATGTTTATTTTAGAGTTCAAAATGAAGTTAATTGGACCTACCAGCGCGCGCCTCATAGCCTCCTTATCCAGGGTGACACTTTCACCCTTGGTGCGCATCACCAGCTTGGTGAACTGCACCACATCCTGTACGTTTGCGACGCGCGTGCTGAACATCTGACTAAAGCGAATCGTGTTGAACATGCACGACTCATCGGTGTAGAGCAGCCGCAAGCGTATCAAGGGCAGATTTGGCTGCTTTGGGTGACCCGTCAGCTGGGCCTTGGCCTTCTCAATCATCGACTCCACGCGCTCGCGTGCAAATTTGTAGACCTTTGTCGAAGCATCGCCCTCGTTGAGGCCCAACTCTTCGGCCTTGTCGGGCAGTACAACTGAATCGAATACAAATGGACGCACCGACTGCAAGGGGAGCTCCTTTAGCTTGAACTTGCTTTTGTAGATCTCCAGCAGACCGACGTGCTTCTTCTTGGCCTCGCCCTCCGACAGGGAGGTGGGCACCGATGAGCCCGGCTGGGACACATAGAAGCCCCTCTTCGCATTCGCCTCTGGCTCAATGCGGCAGTCGTGCTCGTGCCCCCAGATGACCAAGTGCAGGAAGTCCGGCAGAAAATCCTCTGGCAAATAGTTCTTGGGTCCCCGATCTGCGCGATTCTGATGCACGACCATCAGGTTGAACCAATCCTCTTGCGCGGCATCGCCATTGCCGCTATTGCCGGGAGCCTCGATTTTCACCTTGAAGTCCTTGAAGAGACGCACCAGGCGATTGTCATGGATGTGGCTCAGGCCATACAACGCCATATGGGTCTCGCCCTTGCGTATTAGAATCGGGTTGATCTCGAGCTTGGTGAGGTCGGTCCACCGGCCAAAGTAGTTCACCAGACCGGATGAGCTCAGCAGATCCAGCGAACTGAGTCGCCCAAAGCCGCTCGGATCATCGTGATTGCCGTGAATGGAGAAGACTGGAAAGGAAATATTCAGATTGGGATCCTCGAAGTTCGCCGAATTGTTGATGGCATTGTAGAAGGACTGTGACTGGTCGCTGATTATGTCCAGCGCCACCGGCTTATTCCCGAATGTATAGCGACGCAGTAGTTCGATGCACCTGTGGGAGCCCCAAACTACTTTAACTTGTTCCTCGTCCGTGTGGGAGATATACTCACTTGTGCAGGGCATTCTGACTGGGCACAGCGTCGTGGAACAAGTCTCCACCCAGCAGTATCATGTCCACATCCTCAACCAAAGCCAATTCCAGAATCTCCTCGAAGGCGGTGAAACTGTCCTCGCCGCGTACAGCATCCTTTTCGCAGTATCCCAAGTGGTTGTCGGTGGCCACCATAATGCGGATGACATTATCGGCATTCTGTTCTGTGGCGCTGCTGTCTGGCATGTCTATATTTTAAGCGCGTTCTGTTTTAAAATGTTTTAATGTTTTAAAACTGAGACGCGAATTTCGCCATACGCAATATCGATATGAAGTATCGATAACACTATTGTTTGGGCGGTAAAATCTATCACAAGCGCGCCAACGCTTCTCTATGAAATTTGTTCAATATTTAAATATTTAATAGCTTGTTTTAATATATCGTAGTTTTTGTGAGTTTAAACACCTGGGAAAATAATTAAGCAAACCATTTACATATAATTTCGATGGATGCATATATATATATATTTACCAAAAATGAGACAAAGATGAAAATTGTTGATTTGAAAATGATTTTAGAGTATAAATAGCTTGTAAATCATTAAAAGATTCTAAAAACACAATCTTTGACCCCGCACATCCCTCTGTAACTAAAAATGTGCATGTTAATTGATACATAATTATGTATTATGTAGAATACATATGTACATGCATATATTTAATAATTTGTATAAATCTTCCCACGTTTGATCGTAAATCTTTGTAAATATTCTATTGCTAAATTGTCTATGAAAGATCATTGTGTGCCCTGTATGCCAGAGTAGTGTAATGGCAATTTTACATTATTGCTCTTTGATGAATGATTGCGCCGCCAATCCCGATCACAGCCCTTTGGTCGCTTTAGTTCAGGTAGTCCCAAGTGGTCAGTCCAGATATGGCAAGATAACTTGATGTATTACGGCTCTGTTGGTGTGCCAGCTCAAATGATGAACATGGGGTTTAATTATGATTAAAAGTTTTCCGGCCTCCTGGAGCGTCCTTATGCCGATTGAGTCGTCAGTGAAGATCTTTCGCTTGTTGAACGGAATCACGTCCATATCCTCGTCGTAGTAGCCAAAGTGGCTGGAAGATGGAATGTTAAAGAGATTCAGAATGTATCTGGTTGGCTTACCTGGACTGCCAGGGCGTTATCACATCGTCATTGGGGCCGCCGATCATGACCAGCTTGCTGAGACGCACCATGCCCATCTTAAAGGAGGTGGAATTGGAGCTTTGCTTCTCGTTGTTGATCAGCGGCAGAAATTCGCTGTACTTCATGTACAGTGACTGTTTATGCGGGTCGTTCCAGTAGCCGCCCACCGATGTGTGCTGCCCCACCGTCGAGTAGAATAGCTCAAAGGCGGTCTTTGCCGCCAGATCCGGAAATATCAGATGCAGAAAGCTGGCTGGAAAGTGTATCATTGAGGGAAATAACATTTAGCTTTAATTTCAATGGAAACTCACTTCCGTATTGACCCGCTTGTGGCGATGAAAGGGATATGAAGGTTTTTACATTGTGATCGGGCAGACTTTGTATGGCCGCGCGGGCCAAGATGCCGCCTTGGGAGTAGCCTGTAATGTATACATGGATCGATTGAGTAACCCTCTCCTGAATTGCAGTTCAACCGAACCCACCCAACACATTGATTCCTTCCGGGTGCTGTTTCCCAACATCGCTCAAGTAATCCCGAATCTGATCGACCTGGCGCCAGGCGTTTTCCAGACTGTACCAGCCGCTGAATTTGTCGCAGTTGTAGACAATTGTGCCCGGATGCAGCTGGAAATTAAAGATAATGCATTCTATTACGTTGTTTGCTTCGACTTTGAACTTGTCATTGAGTTTAAACAATAACAAAAGGGGGGGAAGTCAAATTACGAACCTCTTCGATTTCCCGCACCAAAAAGTCCATGGAATCCGCACCAGAAAGGATACCATGGAGTATGACCAGCGGCCTATATGCCAGTGAACCAGCAAAGCAAGCGGACAATGCCAGCAGAAGTCTTAGCCTCATATTTCCTTAATAATATAATTCGATTCCCTTTGTTTTGTTGTTTAGAGGTATCAAACCATCGAGGGCACTATCGATGGTTTTGAGACTATCATGATAGTATCGAGCTACAGTCGTTGCGCTTTTAATATGTTTGGATTGTCTGCTATAAGATACGAAGACACATTTGTAAACAAATCATCGACAGGTGGCATCTAATTTTTACAATGGACAAGTTCCAAAAAAATGTTTCAATGGTTTTTTAATAATTATTAGAGCTATCACGATAGTATCGATTGTTTTATCAAAACATTCAATATTTCTCTTTGATATTTCTCGATTTTGATATTCCGTTTAATATTACTAGCTAGCTGGGACTCTCAGCCCTAAACAAATAATTTTATCCAATTCCTCAATGAATTTTGTTTAGGATTGGTTAGTTTTTAGAAGTCCTTTTTATTGGATTATTTACATATTAAGGTTAAAACAAAAACAACATAAAACTAATGTGTCATCGTTTTGTGGCGCTACAAATTTTGTATCTATTATGGGATGCTGATATCGATAAGCTACTTGTATACCGATATACCATGAACGAACCTAACCCACTTAACCCCCTCTTTATTTACACAAGTGAACAACTGCAGTTAAAATTCGGAAAATAGTCCTTTTTGCACATCCTCCTTGTAGATCTTCTTTTTTACTAACAAAATATCGTTCACCTGAAATAAGCTAATATTCTTAAAGTTTCAGAATTTCCGTGGGAATATTGATTACCAAACCTCTTGGGACGACAATGGGCAAAGGCTATTTTCTGTTGGTCGGAAATGCGCAAGGAATAGGTAGGGAAAAGGACATCGATAGGGTTAATGGTCAGCGGGAATTTTAAATTTAAATTAAAGTATTTTATAAAAGCGAAGAGCCATAATTGTGTAGTTCCCAATATGGTTCAAAATTAATTAAATTATAATTTGTATTTTTGTTTTTTACTCATTCATAATACTTTAGTTAGCTACCTGCCTGAGCTTCATTCGGCCTTAAAACTATTTTCAATATTCGATTCTATCATTGGAGTTTGACCATTTGTATACGATTAAACGAATATATTTTATGGAATTTTAATTAATATAATTAGTTACTAATTGTATCTGACTTTTCAAACTAAAGGAAACTGCTTCATACATAAAAGTTTTGTTTAAAAATATTGGATATTTCGTTTTTGCAACTATCTTTAAATTCTGAACCTGTTTTTACAAATGATAGCTGGAGGGGAGGACGGAAGATCCTGGAGGCTGTTGAATACTGTACTTTCTATCAACCCCTGTTAGAGGTGCTCGAGTTTCCTTTCTTTCAATAGATTCCCCCCGATTGCCCTTAAATGAACCCACAACTTAAAATAATGCTCGTTTATTTCACTCATCATCTCTTATACAATCGCTATGTACTTTGCACTATTGTGTCTTGCATTTTGTGTTTAAATCTAGGTGCAGCATTTCTCGTTTCAGTATTTAATATCTACGCCTTGCTTCGGTCCAAATCAAAGCCCAAACCAAACAGGAGATGGGGGAATTGGCAGCGGCAACTGCTCAACTTTCTTACACACTGTTGCTGTCAAATCTGTCTGTACACAATTCAGTTTGAAGGATTTTCTCAAGGGTTTGGAAACAAATGGTGGTTTCAAGGTATATCAAATATGACAACACTTAACATTTTAGGCTTACACTAAGGGGGTGAGGAGGGGTGTGGGCGGTAGGTCGTACCGTTTGTTAAAGAGTTTCTTTCGATCTAGATTTGTTGCGATTCGGGTATCCATCCATTCTGCCAGCTGCTTCGGTGACTTATCTAGTAATAGAAGTCCTCAACTTGTTCGGGGAACGTTCGCGGGTTGAGCCTTCACCCTGCAACCTCTTCACTGACAAAATCCAGCTTGACCACCTCCGCTGGCAGGCATTCCTCGACATCGACCTCGTTCTCCTGCACATTGATGCGGTTCAGTGTCATCGATACGTCCGGCCCGCACTTGAGACCCGTGCTCGCCGATGTGGAGGGGGTGGATGTTGTACTAACCACATCGTCGGCAATCGCCACCGTGCCCACCGGCACCGTGCTCGGCGACAATACTGTGGTGACCGACGGCAGGATTATCTGCGTGGACGCGGACGTCGCCACCGAATGAATCGGATGCGAATGCGTCTGGGGCTGTTGCTGGTGCACCGTCGCTGCCGTCGTCGACGTGGGCTGCTGTATAATGATATTCTCCGTGATTGTCGGCGTGTTGGCTGCCGCTGCTGCTGCCGCGGCCGCCGCCTGTGCAGCCGCCTTCTGCTGTTGCATTTGCTGGAACTGCTTGATGGTCACCGTCGTCGTTGTTGTCTGCGGCAGCTGCTGCTGATGGTGCTGTAGGAGGATCTGCTTGGGCTGTGTCACCAGTTGCACATGCTGAATGTTAGCAACCATATTCGAGTTCTGCGGCTGATGTTGATGGTGTTGCTGCTGCTGCTGCTGCTGTTGCTGCTGTAGGGGCAGTTGCTGTACAGTCTGTGTCTTAAATACTTGAGGCTGGGGCTGGAGTTGCTGGGGCGCTGTCGGCAGCTGCTGCTGGATGACCGGCAGCTGGGGGACTGTTTGAATGACGTGCTGCACCTGTTGGACAGGCACTTGCTTCGCAGGTATGCCGGCGTCCTCGAAGGCCTTCTTCTTCAGGGCTTGCCGTATCTGGGACCTGCAAGATGTGTGGCAAAATGGGGTGCTGTTAGTGATGCTGGTGACCCCGGAAACGTCATGTTCCCTCGCTATGAGCACTTACACTGTACGGTTCTTAATGCTAAGACTGATTTTGCTAAGGTCGTCCGAGAAGCGCATAATCGACGAGTGCAACATGTCGATTTCCTCGTCCGTCCATTTACTGGGCGCCACATAGCGAGGGAACATGCAAAAACACCTTGATTAGCGCCTGGCGATCGAACACAGCCTCGGAACCGGCTTTACTTTACACTTACCCGGACGGGGATTCGGCATTTGGATGCAGTTGCATGGTGAGGTCGCCCAATCTGCTGAAAGCTTGTCCGGCGGCCGTGAAAATCTCCCCAACCTGCGGATAAAAATGCCGTTTCACTTGGTGCAACAGGGGGGGCAGCCGCGGGGCAATCGCAAACGCTTCTGCGGGCAGCTGCTTTGCAAATTCAAAACATACGCGCCCTCCGCCCCTTTAATGGAACAACAAATTTCCCACTCGAAGGAGGGAGACGGAGACGAATGACACTTGAGGCACCGTGCCGCCACTTTCCCGCACAAATCAAATGCCGCCCAGGGCTTCGGAATTGGTGTTTCGCGCGGGGCCGGACGATATGACTTCGTTGCACCTACCTTTGTTGCCGAGTTCATGGCTGATTCAGTCAAATTAGCTAATTTTTTGCTATAATTTTCTGTTTTGCTTTAGCGTAAGCGTGTGCTGCCTTTTCCAACACTAGTGGATGCCATTTGCAACACTCCAGCCAGCCAGATTCGATAACATATCGCCATATCACCCACTTAATGCCAGGGCTACAGCACGAGAGTATTTTTGCCTCGTTTATGCGAGGACACACTTCACGAATAAATTAGTTTTAGCATATATTACTAAATAACAAACGATATAAATAAACATAAAACAAGAATAACTTAAAATAAAAATAAAACATAAATGAACTGAGTCCCTCCCCTGTATAGTCAGCGTCACTGCCTACCATTTGCAGGCTCTTTAACCCACTTTTACTTATCATTACAATATACCCGTCGACGCTCATCGTGAATGCATCTCCGTTGAATCTTCCGCGATTCGGACGTATTGCTAGCAGATTTCTGCAGAAGAAAGGAGGCTTAGCATATAGGATCTAATATATACATTTAATTTGGGGTCTAATACTTACACCGCGATCTTTAGGAGCGTTGGAAACTTTTCTCCCTTTCGTTGTATGCTTCTCCCCAATTTCGTTCACTGCCTCGCTCGCAAGTTCCATGTCCGTGCGATAGCCACTCGTATTTTGTTTCTAAGCAAAACAAACAAAATCTAATCGTTAATTTCAAGAAGATGAAATCTGCACATTCGCTTACTATTTTTGTGCGAAGACTTTCAACTTCTTTGTTTAGATTTTGAATGACTTCTTCTAGCACCAACTTTTGCTGGGACAGAGCATTTTTGAAGGTCTCGCTAGCTGCATCCTTTTCCATCAGACGTTTAACCGAGTGGCGACTCTCATTAAGTTCCTGGCGCATTTCAAGGCATTTCTGATAGGTGTTTTTGTGGATTTCATCCTGCTTGAGCAAAGCGTTGCGTAGAGCACTGTTTTCTGCTTTTATGGACTTCAATTGAGACTTTAACTGGGAATTAAGTTCTTCCTTAGCGATCACAATGCCGTTAAGGTGCTCTTTAAAGCCCTGCTTCTCTGTCTTAAAGGTTTCCTCGTTGGTTTTCTGAAAATATATATTGATCAAGTGGGGTAAAGATAAACGTAATGTGTTTTTCGCTTACTAGGGTTGCTCGCAGAGTTTGATTTAATTTAAAAAGATCCGTATTCCATGAACAAACCTGCTCAAATTCCTTTTTTAAATTTAAAAAATTTTTATTTTCTGCCTGCAGAGCACTGCACTCGTTACGCAGAACATCACACTCCTTCACACTCTTAACGAGCTGGTTGGACATGCAGTCAAACTCCCACTGCATGTCCGTCCAGCTCGTCTTCAGCTCCGACAGCTCTACCTTGAGCGCATCATTGTGCGCCTCGAACTGTTCCGCAAGTGCCTTTTGGTTGGCAGCCTCCAAAAGTATTCGCTGCGTCTCCTCACCGCGCTCCCTCAACTTTAAAATCTCGGCCTGCAGTGTCGTGCTGTCGGCCTCCAGCTGCAGGCCGTGCTCTTCGGAAGCTTTCGATGTTCGTCCCAAGTCCTCGTACTCCTGCTGCAGCTTTTCGTACTTACGTTGGACTGCATTGTAGTCTGCTGCCATGCTTTTTATGAGCTTCAGTTGGCTCTGCCAGATCTGCTCCATACCGTCGTACTTTCCCTGCAGTCGGGCATTGTCGTCCTGAGCAGTGAATAGTTGAAGGTTGAGGCGTTTGCAGTCCTCCGTCTTCTCAGACACCTCGCACATGGCCAGGCTATAAGCCAACTGAACGTCTTCCAGCTTGGTTCGTGTCTCAGCAATGTCCACTCGCAGCTGATCGCACTCACGCTGGGCTCTCTCCGCGCACTTGGATTCGCCATTGGCTACGAGGCGCTCAAGCTCCAGACACTTGTGGCAGATTCTCTCGCAGCTTGACTCCAGCTCGGGGCAAATGAAGCGCATCTGCTCCTGCCTGCTGTTGCGCAGAACATCGCGGGACAGTTCGTCGAGAGTTTTGCGCAGATTGTCTTTGGCCAAGTCCTTCTGTGACAAGGCCGAAAGCATCTCCATCTGGTTATGGTCGGCAAACTTCTCCTGCAGAGCTTTGCAGCTGGAATTTCAAAATTTGTAAATTGAATTCGAATACTCGAATATAAAGCAAATTGGCTGGCAATGGCTATGTTCAGAGACATAAAACAAATACTAATGTTTATGTTTCCCCCCGGGGCTGCATTTCGGCCAGCTCCAGCCGACGACTCTTGCTGCTGTCTGCAACTGGGGGGAAACTTTGCGATGGTCGGGGGACACCCTATAAATAGAAGCAGCCGATCGTGGCCTGCATTCAGGTTGGTTGGAGTTGTCTCTCTCTCTCTGCCTCTCTCGCCGCGCCACTATATACATACATACATACCTAATGGTAATGAGCCAATCTTTGTACATGTGGGCGTTACATCACTGTCGAACACGCCGTGGAGCAGCAGCAGTAACAGCGGGCAGTAGGTGCAACGACGTCACCGATCACCAGAATCAAACGCAATAAGCGTTGGAGCAGACGGTGGAGCGCTGGACTGTGATCTGCTGTGTGGTGGCGGCCGCAATGAGCTTGGGGCCAGGCAGCATTTTGGAATATCAAATTATGAAGAGTTTGGGAATTATCAAGTTTGCTTTATCGCGCTACTGCTCGTCGGCGATCGATCGACAGTGCCGTCATCAGTTCGAGCCGAAACTATGCGCGAAACGGGCTCGAATCAGCAAATGAAATGGCCAGCACCATGGAGAGGGTCGTCGCGTCTTCTTCTTGCCCCTTTTTGTTTGTTTTTATTCTCAAGTCTCTTTTCGGCCGAAATTCGCGCTGAGAGTGCAAAGCAAATGAAAGCAAAAGAGAGAAGGAGAGGGAGCATCGGCGATCGATTGTTGATTTTTGTCGATAACGCTGAGCGTTGGCGCGCTGTGGGGAGGTTTTTTAATCGGTGTTTGAATTGGCGGAAAGGTATATAAAGGTATATATAACAGAATATATTGTGAGCTTCTTAAACTTTATATGCATAAATGTATGTACATATATGCTGAACCTTGGAAGTTTATTTATTTTATGTTATTTTATTTAATCCTAACAAATTATACTCTAGGCTTACTCTAGGTTTCCAGCTGGAGCTATGTCAGTGCAGATTGGAACCGCTACATAGGATCATAATCCCATGTTAACTACCATAATTTTAGCTGAAACTTTATAAAAAAAAGAAAGCAAACTACGTGAGGATGATTTAGGAAGGGGTGGGGTTGGTGATAAAAATCCACCCTTAAATGCACAGACCTATCAGCACTGTTTTCAGGGAAATATTGCTCAACACTACTCCCCGACAAACACCGAGAAAGTTGTTCAAATCTGCCAAAGAATGCCATGAAATTTGTTTCGTACTTGTGCTAAATAGAATTCTGCAATCTGTCTGAATTTGTCTTCGGCTCTTTTTAAGTGCAAACGTTTGAGTAAGTAAGTGTTTAGCCCAAAACATGTTAATTCGTATGCCCAACAACCCATAGAATTCAAGAATTTAAGCACAAAAGAACAGACTTAAAACAGACAAAATGGAACAAGAAAATGCAGACAAGAAAATCCTTAAGAAAAAAGTCATCCCATGGGTCTGCCAGGAAATGTGTGTGCTGTGTATGCTGCCAAAGCGCGAGCCAATGTTCGTGCCCTGCGGCCACTCGTTCTGCTGTAAATGTGCCACTCAGATGATTCTCCTCAATAGTACGGAATCGAATCCCCACTGTCCATTATGCCCGCTGATATATCCCGAGACGATTTAAAATATTATGGATGCAGGATTTTCAGGGGGAATGTAATAAAGGGATAAGCTGATGAAATTTCTAATGGCTTTGCGACAATAAATGTTATTTCATGTTCAGAATATTTTCAGTATGCCTGCCAGTGCTATATGTGCTACAAATCTTTATTGAAGATAAGCCCCATCCCGAAATGTTAATGAAAATTGATCCCCAAAAATGTACAAAATACACACAATACTGCACATTGCGATTCCATAATTTGGGGGTTCTGCTTACGAAGAAGTTTTCCGCCTTGGTCAGACGCTCCTTGAACTTCTAAATATCCATGAATATCCTGCCACTGCATCGTCGTGGCATCGGAGCACACCTCATTGACCTGCGGCTCATATTTGGCGTATTTTCATGGCCTGCATGGCTAACTTTAGCGTGTATTGAGTCTGCAGCATATTGCAGGGATTGATGGTGCAAATTATGCCCGTGTATGGGCCAGTATAAACGAGTATATAGTCATATATGTATGCATAGGGTGTAGCCAAAGATTTTATAATGCAATAATTGGAGAGCACACAGAGAGTACAGAGAGAGAGAGAGTGGGTGTGAGAGTATGCGGCGCTAACAAATAGATTGTACAGGTTACTTGATCTGATTGAGTACCGTGGTATAAATGTAGAGCCGAGGCCCTTTTCGATCGAAAATGAGATAAGATAACCATATACAGATAGAGACTAGGCAAGAAAGAGAGTATAGGTATAAGCTTAAGGGGCAGTTTTTCGTGCTTGCATCAGTCTCTGCAGTTGCATTCCGGAGAACGTTGCCGTGCTAGAGAGACGTGTAAAATATCTGCATACTTGATATATGTAAAACTGTTCCTTGAAGTGCAATTATAAAGTATTCGTTGCATTAATATAACATACACTTGGTGCCATATTAACTAAAAAATTATAATTCTAAATTATAATATAATAAATAATATTAAAAGAAAACTAATCGCTCATGTCCATGAGTCACTCACTCACTCACTAATCGCTCATGTCCATAAGTCACTCACAAGATAAGCAAAATATTTTCCAGCGAAACAAAAAGTTAAATCAAAATACCAATAACCGACTTCATAAAGAAAACATTTCGCAATTGTGCCAGATCAATTAAAAAATCAAAGATTAAATTAAAATGAGTCAAGTGAGCATTTTTAACTTGCCACCCGATTGCTTCTTTGAAATATTTAAGTACATACAAAAAAACTGCGAGGACGAAAGACCATCTGAACCCGAGGAAATCAAGTATGCCGATCTCATTAACTTTGCCGCATGTTGCGAGCCGTGTGCCGCGTTGCTCTGTGACTGGAATATAACACTATATATCAGTCTTCAGAAGTATTTAACCTTCAGGATCGACAACATTCACATCGACTTTGAAGAGGTGTATACCCGGTTGAAGAATGCGTCAGCAAAGTACAAGGAAACCTATTGGAGCTCCCTCAGCCAGGCCATCAGGGACGCACCCGCAACCTACGTCACTTTGTTTTACGCTCCCGAATCATTCCACAGTGATCACATGGAAGCATTTCGCACCGTGATAGATCAACTCCAAAACAAGACAAATCTGGAAGAGTTACACATTGATGTGCGGGGTGAGAGCATTATATGTCTAGGTCTAGGGGCATACGTATTTAACATGGAACATTTGTTTATTTCAGGCTACACCCTAGAGGGTCTGGGAGCACTTAGAAGCCTCGAGGAACTCCGATTGAATGTGCGGATGGATATTGATGATTTGATTGAAATGTGCCGATTGAACAAAAACTTGCGCATTCTGGAATACATGAATAATGAAACGGGTGGAAAGAGGCTGGCCGCGATCGTCCCTCATTGCGAACATTTGAAACATCTCGCCTTCGCAATGAGACCCGACTGCGATGCAAGCGAATACAGGCCTTTGGCTAAGATTCCCAGACTGCAATACTTACAAATCAAAGGAGTGCACGAGAAGGGCACTCTTCAGCCCCTGCTGGAGGGATTCGCCTGCAAAGACCTCTACACATTGTCCATAGTCGATGCAACATTGGACCACAATGAAACGCAGGCAATGGCCCAGATAGAAACATTAACTCAAGTGGAGTGTGGATTTGACGATCCCCAGAGTATTGGGCTCTTGTCCCAACTGACCGAACTCAAACAGTTGAAGATACTGTCCAAACATGACTTTGGAGCACTATCGGAGCCAGTTTGGTGGATTTTAGTGGAGTCAAAAGGGAAAACGAGCATTGAGCTAGAAAATTGTTCATTATCATACAGTCAAAGTGGAGCACTTCATCTTTATACAACAGAGAATAATGCGAATGCCTCCGACTACAGTCCACTTTTGACTCCGGTTCTCAATGGATTCAGGAACGTACCCACATTGACGGACTTGTCGTTGGAAAATATCACGGCAGAGGAATTCGCAGCAGTATCTGAAATCGCATCCCTGAAGAGATTGGAGTGTGGATTTGCCGAAACACAAAACGCTGAGCTCCTCGCGCAGCTACCCGTGCTCGAGGAATTGACTATTAAATCTGTGCCATCATCTCCAGGATCCCTCCAGGGCCTCCTGGCTGCTCTGGCTTCGAGGGAGTCGCAGACACTACAAAAGTTGTGTTTGAAAAGAAAGATCGATGCCGTGGAGGCAAACGAACTGTCCCGCCTGACATCCTTGCGAACTTTGGCATGTCAGTTCGCTGATCCTCTGGACATTCAGCTTCTGTCTCAACTCCCCGAACTCAAAAAGCTGAACCTGAATGCCATGGACAGACTAGACCAGATATTGCCTTTGGTCCTTATAGTTATAAAGTCCTGCAAAAAGTTGGCTGACATTCACATCCAGTGTAAGCCAAACCACTCCGATCATGTGGACATGAAATCGTCTGAAATCCTCGTCGAAATGTTGGAGGCCTTCCAAGATAAATTTAATATACGGTTCAACGACAGCTTTTTCGGCATATTCGGGAATCGTGAAAAAAATAAATTGTTCGTTAACATGCTTTTATTTAGACAAAATAAACTCGCGATAGAATCCTTAGCCCGCGTTCAATCTGTAAACCATATGGAACTAAAATTCCACGTAGTTGGGGAACCGAGGGCTCTCTTTGCCGCCCTAGCGATGAGAACTAATTCCAATCTACAGAGTCTGTGCACTCCGTTCTGTCCGCTCGACTTTAGTGAGACTACGGAATTGGCCAAGATTACTTCGTTGACAAAATTTAAAGGCCCCATCTCCGATATACGAAGTCTCCAACACTTACTCCATTTAAGCAATTTCGAAGTTTGGAATGAATTAGAATTGAATGGACAGGTTCGCAGGTTTGTAAACAAATCATAGGTCGATCGCAAAAGTTTAAACTGTTTTTCTATCCATCCATCCATCCCCTAGAAACATCACGTTCGATAAGTCCACCGGGAAATTGAATATTATTAACAAAACGGCTAATGAATTACAAGACGACATTGGACTGAATCCCCTTGCTAGCCTGCAGAATTTGCGGCACGTTACTATTTCTGGAGTCTACAAAGTGGGCTCCATGTGCGATTTCTTGGGCCAGCTGGCCACCTGTCAAGGGAAGACTCTGCAGACCCTGGAGATATTTCCGAACGGAGAACTGAATTATGCAGAGCTGAGGGAAGTGATTAAAATGAAGTCTCTCCAAACACTGATCTGCGGGTTATCCCATGTTAAGGACGTGGAAATAGAACAGCTGGAACAACTTCCCCATCTAGCAGTGCTCATTGTTGTTTCCCATCGAACGGGCTCTTTAGGGAGCCTACTTCGGACTCTTGCCGCCAGGAAGTGCCCCACACTAACACATCTGACTGTAAAGGGCGAAAGTCTCACCCCCCAAGAGGTGACCGACGCATCTGCTATTAGTTCCTTGGAGCGACTCGACTGCGGGTTCTGCAGCACAGAGGGTCTCGATGTATTGTCACAGCGTTCCTGCATCGAGCATCTGGTCATGAAAACTAGGAACGGTGAAGCCTCTCTGGTAGATCTGCTCACTGCTGTTGCAGCTTCTGGCGAATCAAAGATTCAGAATCTAACCATCGATGGTCCGGCAGTCGGTCAGGAATTAGCTACCGTTTTAAGCCTTGTTCTTCGAATTCCGAGACTGAAGTCCTTGAAGCTCCGAATCAAAGATACCCAGGGCATTGAGCGATTGTCAGAGTTTTTGCATTTAGAAGAGTTGACCATCTCATATACCCGCAAAAAGGGTTCTTTATCAGGTCTCTTCCGGGCACTTTCACTGAATGATGCAACCAAATTAAAGACTTTGGCTATTAAGCGCAATTGTATCGACCTTGAAGGGGCTCGCCACCTCGTGCAGGTTGATTCAATCACAAGCCTAAGGTGTGCCTTCAAAAATAAAGAAATCTTTGCCCTCTTGGCTAAAATGACCAATCTCGAGACTTTGGAAATCGCTTCGGAACAGAAATTAATATATATTTCTGGGCACCTGCTTGACATCTTCCGAGGATGTCGAAAGCTTAAGACTATTAATATGCGAAATACATTCTGGTACCTCCGCCAAGGCTTCCTGAAAAATGTACTGGACATACTGAAATCCGTGAGAGATCCCACAACTCAAGGTCCATTGGAGATACGGACTTCCCAGTCATCTGTTCAATTAAAAAAAATGGTAAGCGAAGCTTATATCCCGTAGGATATAATTTGTATAAATTTGTGCTTTCGTACTTTCAGATGACTTCCATCGATAAAACGTATTTAATTGTGAACAATCTGAGCGACGAAGAGAGCGAGGAAGATAGCGAGGAAGAGAGCGAGGAAGAGAGCGAGGAAGAAAGCGAGGAAGAGACCGAGGAAAAGAGCGAGGAATAAAGCGAGAAAGATAGCGAGGAAGAGAGCGAGAAAGATAGCGAGGAAGAGAGCGAGAAATGGATGGATATGGTGTAGCTGAATGCTTCGCTTTGGCTTTGGCGATTCGACAACCACAGAGGGAAACTTTTTGATTGTCCGACGCTAAAGTAAAAATATTATTGCACTCTCGCGGACGCCCCATCCCTTTCAACGGTCGTATAGTGGGTCAAAAACACAACCAGGTCTGCGCACATCACCCATAGTTTATGCCTCAAATCGCGAGTCTGGTTGCCGGAAAATTTGCTAAATTTCCAAAACGATTGACCAGAAGAAAGACTCAATTTTACACCTCCAAAAATAAATGGATTTGTGTGGATTTCAATGGGAACTTGCGCAGTTATACGGTGCAGGGCCTTTATTAATTTCATTGGAAATTGAAAGCTTCAATATAAAATTAACCTAAGATTGGGATCGAGATATAACGGCTGGTGTTGTTGTGAAAAGATAGATCGCGGAGAGATCCACCTCCCCGCATTAACCAAAATATGAATTCGTCACTTTTTGCGAGCAGCGAAACCAAAAGACAAATACAGAAATAGATTGTATAGGTTACAACAATCTTAAGATTACATATGTGAATACTTATACATATACCAAAATGAGTAACGGGTATAAAAGTAGAGGCGCGTCCCATGTCGATCGAAAGTGAGATAAGATAACCATAAAGATAGAGACAATCTTTCCAGGAAAATAAAGGGAGTATAAAAAGCTTCCATAGGCTTAAAGGACAGCTTTTCGTGCTTGCAGCAGACACTGTAGCTGCATTCCGGAGAACGTTGACGTGCTAGAGAGACGTGTAAATTATCCGTACAGTTTATATATGTAAGACTGTTCCTTAAAGTGCAATTATAAAGTATTCGGTGCATTAATATAACATGCACTTGGTGCCGTATTAACCAGTGAATTACAATTCTAAATTTTAGTATTACAAATGATATTAGAAGAAAACTAATCGTCCATGTGTATGAGTCACTCACTAGACAAGCAAAAACTTTGCCAGCGAAACAAAAAAGTTAAATAAAAATATAAAATATCATTAAACGTCTGAATAAAAAAAAATAAAATAAATAAAAATAAAAATCGTAAGATTAAATATATACAGATTGAGTATCGGCTGTAAAAGTAGAGGCGCTACACTTGTCGAACAAAAGTGAGATAAGATAACCATACAGATAAAGACAATCTTTCCAGGAAAATAAGGCAGTTTAAAAAGCTTTCACAAGCCCAGCGAACTGTTGTTCGCGCCGGCAGCAGACACTGTAGCTGCATTCCGGAGAACGTTGACGTGCTAGAGAGACGTGTAAATTATCCGTACAGTTTATATATGTAAGACTGTTCCTTAAGTGCAATTATAAAGTATTCGGTGCATTAATATAACATGCACTTGGTGCCGTATTAACCAGTGAATTATAATTCTAAATTTTAATATTACAAATGATATTAGAAGAAAACTAATCGTCCATGTGTATGAGTCACTCACTAGACAAGCAAAAACTTTGCCAGCGAAACAAAAAAGTTAAATAAAAATATAAAATATCATTAAACGTCTGAATAAAAAAAAATAAAATAAATAAAAATAAAAATCGTAAGATTAAATATATACAGATTGAGTATCGGCTGTAAAAGTAGAGGCGCTACACTTGTCGAACAAAAGTGAGATAAGATAACCATACAGATAAAGACAATCTTTCCAGGAAAATAAGGCAGTTTAAAAAGCTTTCACAAGCCCAGCGAACTGTTGTTCGCGCCGGCAGCAGACACTGTAGCTGCATTCCGGAGAACGTTGACGTGCTAGAGAGACGTGTAAATTATCCGTACAGTTTATATATGTAAGACTGTTCCTTAAGTGCAATTATAAAGTATTCGGTGCATTAATATAACATGCACTTGGTACCGTATTAACCAGTGAATTACAATTCTAAATTTTAATATTACAAATGATATCAGAAGAAAACTAGTCGTCCATGTGTATGAGTCACTCACTAGACAAGCAAAAACTTTGCCAGCGAAACAAAAAAGTTAAATAAAAATATAAAATATCATTAAACGTCTGAATAAAAAAACATTTCGCAATTGTAACAAGTTAAACGCCGTGACTAACTTAAAATGAGTCAAGTGAGCATTTTGGAACTGCCATCCGATTGCTTCTTTGAAATATTTAAGTACATAAAAGAGAACTGCGAGAGAGAGAAACCAAATGCGCCCGACGAAATCAAGTATAAAGATTTCATTAACTTTGCCGCATGTTGCAAGCCGTGTGCCGCGTTGCTCTGTGACTGGAATATAACACTATATATCAGTCTTCAGAAGTATTTAACCTTCAGGATCGACAACATTCACATCGACTTTGAAGAGGTGTATACCCGGTTGAAGAATGCGTCAGCAAAGTACAAGGAAACCTATTGGAGCTCCCTCAGCCAGGCCATCAGGGACGCACCCGCAACCTACGTCACTTTGTTTTACGCTCCCGAATCATTCCACAGTGATCACATGGAAGCATTTCGCACCGTGATAGATCAACTCCAAAACAAGACAAATCTGGAAGAGTTACACATTGATGTGCGGGGTGAGAGCATTATATGTCTAGGTCTAGGGGCATACGTATTTAACATGGAACATTTGTTTATTTCAGGCTACACCCTAGAGGGTCTGGGAGCACTTAGAAGCCTCGAGGAACTCCGATTGAATGTGCGGATGGATATTGATGATTTGATTGAAATGTGCCGATTGAACAAAAACTTGCGCATTCTGGAATACATGAATAATGAAACGGGTGGAAAGAGGCTGGCCGCGATCGTCCCTCATTGCGAACATTTGAAACATCTCGCCTTCGCAATGAGACCCGACTGCGATGCAAGCGAATACAGGCCTTTGGCTAAGATTCCCAGACTGCAATACTTACAAATCAAAGGAGTGCACGAGAAGGGCACTCTTCAGCCCCTGCTGGAGGGATTCGCCTGCAAAGACCTCTACACATTGTCCATAGTCGATGCAACATTGGACCACAATGAAACGCAGGCAATGGCCCAGATAGAAACATTAACTCAAGTGGAGTGTGGATTTGACGATCCCCAGAGTATTGGGCTCTTGTCCCAACTGACCGAACTCAAACAGTTGAAGATACTGTCCAAACATGACTTTGGAGCACTATCGGAGCCAGTTTGGTGGATTTTAGTGGAGTCAAAAGGGAAAACGAGCATTGAGCTAGAAAATTGTTCATTATCATACAGTCAAAGTGGAGCACTTCATCTTTATACAACAGAGAATAATGCGAATGCCTCCGACTACAGTCCACTTTTGACTCCGGTTCTCAATGGATTCAGGAACGTACCCACATTGACGGACTTGTCGTTGGAAAATATCACGGCAGAGGAATTCGCAGCAGTATCTGAAATCGCATCCCTGAAGAGATTGGAGTGTGGATTTGCCGAAACACAAAACGCTGAGCTCCTCGCGCAGCTACCCGTGCTCGAGGAATTGACTATTAAATCTGTGCCATCATCTCCAGGATCCCTCCAGGGCCTCCTGGCTGCTCTGGCTTCGAGGGAGTCGCAGACACTACAAAAGTTGTGTTTGAAAAGAAAGATCGATGCCGTGGAGGCAAACGAACTGTCCCGCCTGACATCCTTGCGAACTTTGGCATGTCAGTTCGCTGATCCTCTGGACATTCAGCTTCTGTCTCAACTCCCCGAACTCAAAAAGCTGAACCTGAATGCCATGGACAGACTAGACCAGATATTGCCTTTGGTCCTTATAGTTATAAAGTCCTGCAAAAAGTTGGCTGACATTCACATCCAGTGTAAGCCAAACCACTCCGGTCATGTGGACATGAAATCGTCTGAAATCCTCGTCGAAATGTTGGAGGCCTTCCAAGATAAATTTAATATACGGTTCAACGACAGCTTTTTCGGCATATCCGGGAATCGTGAAAAAAATAAATTGTTCGTTAACATGCTTTTATTTAGACAAAATAAACTCGCGATAGAATCCTTAGCCCGCGTTCAATCTGTAAACCATATGGAAATACATTTCCACGTAGTTGGGGAACCGAGGGCTCTCTTTGCCGCCCTAGCGATGAGAACTAATTCCAATCTACAGAGTCTGTGCACTCCGTTCTGTCCGCTCGACTTTAGTGAGACTACGGAATTGGCCAAGATTACTTCGTTGACAAAATTTAAAGGCCCCATCTCCGATATACGAAGTCTCCAACACTTACTCCATTTAAGCAATTTCGAAGTTTGGAATGAATTAGAATTGAATGGACAGGTTCGCAGGTTTGTAAACAAATCATAGGTCGATCGCAAAAGTTTAAACTGTTTTTCTATCCATCCATCCATCCCCTAGAAACATCACGTTCGATAAGTCCACCGGGAAATTGAATATTATTAACAAAACGGCTAATGAATTACAAGACGACATTGGACTGAATCCCCTTGCTAGCCTGCAGAATTTGCGGCACGTTACTATTTCTGGAGTCTACAAAGAGGGCTTCATGTGCGATTTCTTGGGCCAGCTGGCCACCTGTCAAGGGAAGACTCTGCAGACCCTGGAGATATTTCCGAAGAAAGAACTGAACTATGCAGAGCTGAGGGAAGTGATTAAACTGAAGTCTCTCCGAAAACTGGCCTGCGGGTTATCCCATGTTAAGGACGTGGAAATAGAACAGCTGGAACAACTTCCCCATCTAGCAGTGCTCATTGTTGTTTCCCATCGAACGGGCTCTTTAGGGAGCCTACTTCGGACTCTTGCCGCCAGGAAGTGCCCCACACTAACACATCTGACTGTAGAGGGCGAAAGTCTCACCCCCCAAGAGGTGACCGACGTATCTGCTATAAGTTCCTTGGAGCGACTCAGCTGCGGGTTCTGCAGCACAGAGGGTCTCGATGTATTGTCACAGCGTTCCTGCATCGAGGAGCTGGTCATGAAAACTAGGAAAGGTGAAGCCTCTCTGGTAGATCTGCTCACTGCTGTTGCAGCTTCTGGCGAATCAAAGATTCAGAATCTAACCATCGATGGTCCGGCAGTCGGTCAGGAATTAGCTACCGTTTTAAGCCTTGTTCTTCGAATTCCGAGACTGAAGTCCTTGAAGCTCCGAATCAAAGATACCCAGGGCATTGAGCGATTGTCAGAGTTTTTGCATTTAGAAGAGTTGACCATCTCATATACCCGCAAAAAGGGTTCTTTATCAGGTCTCTTCCGGGCACTTTCACTGAATGATGCAACCAAATTAAAGACTTTGGCTATTAAGCGCAATTGTATCGACCTTGAAGGGGCTCGCCACCTCGTGCAGGTTGATTCAATCACAAGCCTAAGGTGTGCCTTCAAAGAGAAAGAAATCTTTGCCCTCTTGGCTAAAATGACCAATCTCGAGACTTTGGAAATCGCTTCGGAACAGGAATTAATATATATTTCTGGGCACCTGCTTGACATCTTCCGAGGATGTCGAAAGCTTAAGACTATTAATATGCGAAATACATTCTGGTACCTCCGCCAAGGCTTCCTGAAAAATGTACTGGACATACTGAAATCCGTGAGAGATCCCACAACTCAAGGTCCATTGGAGATACGGACTTCCCAGTCATCTGTTCAATTAAAAAAAATGGTAAGCGAAGCTTATATCCCGTAGGATATAATTTGTATAAATTTGTGCTTTCGTACTTTCAGATGACTTCCATCGATAAAACGTATTTAATTGTGAACAATCTGAGCGACGAAGAGAGCGAGGAAGATAGCGAGGAAGAGAGCGAGGAAGAGAGCGAGGAAGAAAGCGAGGAAGAGACCGAGGAAAAGAGCGAGGAATAAAGCGAGAAAGATAGCGAGGAAGAGAGCGAGAAAGATAGCGAGGAAGAGAGCGAGAAATGGATGGATATGGTGTAGCTGAATGCTTCGCTTTGGCTTTGGCGATTCGACAACCACAGAGGGAAACTTTTTGATTGTCCGACGCTAAAGTAAAAATATTATTGCACTCTCGCGGACGCCCCATCCCTTTCAACGGTCGTATAGTGGGTCAAAAACACAACCAGGTCTGCGCACATCACCCATAGTTTATGCCTCAAATCGCGAGTCTGGTTGCCGGAAAATTTGCTAAATTTCCAAAACGATTGACCAGAAGAAAGACTCAATTTTACACCTCCAAAAATAAATGGATTTGTGTGGATTTCAATGGGAACTTGCGCAGTTATACGGTGCAGGGCCTTTATTAATTTCATTGGAAATTGAAAGCTTCAATATAAAATTAACCTAAGATTGGGATCGAGATATAACGGCTGGTGTTGGTGTGAAAAGATAGATCGCGGAGAGATCCACCTCCCCGCATTAACCAAAATATGAATTCGTCACTTTTTGCGAGCAGCGATACCAAAAGACAATTACAGAAATAGATCGTATAGGTTACAACAATCTTAAGATTACATATGTGAATACTTATACATATACCAAAATGAGTAACGGGTATAAAAGTAGAGGCGCGTCCCATGTCGATCGAAAGTGAGATAAGATAACCATAAAGATAGAGACAATCTTTCCAGGAAAATAAAGGGAGTATAAAAAGCTTCCATAGGCTTAAAGGACAGCTTTTCGTGCTTGCAGCAGACACTGTAGCTGCATTCCGGAGAACGTTGACGTGCTAGAGAGACGTGTAAATTATCCGTACAGTTTATATATGTAAGACTGTTCCTTAAAGTGCAATTATAAAGTATTCGGTGCATTAATATAACATGCACTTGGTGCCGTATTAACCAGTGAATTACAATTCTAAATTTTAGTATTACAAATGATATTAGAAGAAAACTAATCGTCCATGTGTATGAGTCACTCACTAGACAAGCAAAAACTTTGCCAGCGAAACAAAAAAGTTAAATAAAAATATAAAATATCAATAACCGTCTCAATAAAAAAACATTTCGCAATTGTAACAAATCAAACGCCGTGACTAACTTAAAATGAGTCAAATGAGCATTTTTGAACTGCCACCCGATTGCTTCTTTGAAATATTTAAGTACATAAAAGAGAACTGCGAGAGAGAGAAACCAAATGCGCCCCACGAAATCAAGTATGAAGATTTCATTATCTTGGCCATTTGCTGCGACACCTTTGACGATCTGATCCAGGAATGGAAAATTGATCTATATGACAGGCTTTGGGAAAATGTGCGCTTTCCGAGGTACATAACTCACATCGACTTTGAAGATGTGAATGCCCGGTTAAAGAGAAAGTCAGCAAAAGAAAAGGAAACCTACTGGAGGGAGCTCAGCCACGCCATCAGGGACGCACATTTGACCACTGTCTCATTGCGTTGCGAATCGGAATCATTCCAGAGTGATCACTTTGAAGCATTTCACACCGTGATAGATCAACTCCAAAACAAGCCAAATCTGAAAAGGCTGCTCATTGATGTACGGGGTGAGAGCATCATACGTCTGGGTCTAGGGGCTTACATTTGTAGCACGCAACATTTATTTATTTTCAGGCTTCACCCTAAAAGGTCTGGGAGGAATTAGAAGCCTTGAGACGCTCCGGTTAGATATCCGGATGGATATTGATGATTTGATTGAAATCTGCCGCCTGAACAAAAACTTGTTCATTCTGGAATACATGAATAATGAAACGGGAGGAAAGAGGCTGGCCGCGATCGCCCCGCATTGCGAACATTTGCAACAACTCACCTTCAAAATGAGAACCGACCGCGATGCAAGCGAATACAGGCCTTTGGCTAAGATTCCCAGACTGCAATACTTACAAATCGCAGGCGTCCACGAGAAGGGCACTCTTCAGCCCCTGCTGGAGGGATTGGCCTGCAAAGACCTCTACACATTGTCCATAGTCTATGCAACATTGGACCACAATGAAACGCAGGCAATGGCCCAGATCGATACATTAATTCGAGTGGAGTGTGGATTTGACGATCCCCAGAGCATTGGGCTCTTGTCCCAACTGACCAAACTCAATTACTTGAAGATACTGTCCAAACATGACTTTGGCCCACTATCGGAACCAGTTCGGAGGATTTTAGTGGAGTCAAAAGGGAATCTGTACATTGCGCTAGTCAATTTGACAATATCATATGAACCATGTGGCTTACTTACACTTTTTATGGGAGAGGAGAATGAGAGTGCCTCCGACTACAGTCCCCTTTCGACTCTGCCTGGTCTGTCTTCGCTTAAAATTCACAGATCGCTCCAAGGTGGTTCATTTAAGCCGATTCTCAATGGATTCAGGAACGCACCCACATTGACGGACTTGTTGTTGGTATCTATCACGGCAGAGGAATTCGCAGCTGTATCTGAAATCGCATCCCTGAAGAGACTGGAGTTTGTATTTGCCGAAACACAAAACGCTGAGCTCCTCGCGCAGCTACCCGTGCTCGAGGAGTTGACTATTAAATCTGTGACATCATCTCCAGGATCCCTCCACGGCCTCCTGGCTGCTCTGGCTTCGAGGGAGTCGCAGACACTACAAAAGTTGTGTTTGAAAAGAAAGATCGATGCCGTGGAGGCAAAGGAACTGTCCCGCCTGAAATCTTTGCGAACTTTGGAATGTCAGTTCGCTGATCCTCTGGACATTAAGCTTCTGTCTCAACTAATCAAACTCGAAAAGCTCTACCTGAATGCCAATGAAATGCTAGACCAGATATCGCCTGGTGTCCTAACGGTTATAAAGTACTGCAAAAAGCTAGCTGAAATCCATATCAACTGTAATCCAAACCACTCCGGTCATGACGACATAGATTCGACTGAAATCCTCACCGAAATGTTGGATGCCTGCTACGATGAAATTGTTATACACATCAATGGCAAGAAACGGGCGGAAATAAAAATGTCCGCTGAATTGGATTTCTGGAAAGGAAATAAATTCCCGATAGCACCTTTATGCCGCCTTGAATCTGTAAACCATATGGTCGAAATCGCAAGAAACGACAGCACGTCAAAACATTTTTTTTTCAAATTTTGGTTCTTAATCATTTTTTTGGTTTTACTGCTCCCACTGTATCATAAAACACAATGACCAACACGACACCTATTGATAGTTTCGAAAATTTGCACTGAATAATAAATGAATGAATAAATGAATAAAAACATGGCACTTAACAAAAAGGTTTTGTAATATCAAAACAACATTTTAGTTTACTTGCTCATTAACATATTTGAGTAGAACTAAGTTATTAGAAGTTATTAAGTTATTAAGTTATGTTATTATCTGTAATGAAAAAGAATTCTACCGCAATTATTTGTGTAACCAAACAAAATACTTACACTTCTTTAAGCCTTTTCAGACTACTTTTGAAATAAAGCATTAAATCAGTAATATAATAATATCTGTCTATGTTCTGAAATGAATTATGTTTGTGACGTCAGTCAAATATTTTAATATTACATTGATTTTCTGAACGAAAAAATACTTCAGAATCGAAAAACACCATCGAAGAGGTTGATATATAGTCATAAATGTAATTAACTTTATTACTTCCATCCTTAAGCTACAGAAGAGCATACTTTTTCGAAGGGGTTGCGCAGCTTGAAAACCTATTTCGAAAATTGTGTAGCGTAATAGTCAATTTTGACGTTCATTACTCTGTTATTTAAGAGTACAGAAAAATCTTTGTGAACATAAAATCTCAATACAGATTTGATATTTTAAAGGCAAATACAATAAATATTAAAAATACACAGTTTCATGTGTTTTTGTGACAATTTCCGTTAAAATATGCTTGCGAATGTAACGAACAGTCTGCAGTTTTGACCATATGCAAATAGAAGAATACCATGCAGCTGGCTGATTGAAAGAACTCATTGCTGCACTAACGATGAGATCTGATCAAGATCTACTAAAGTCTGTGCATAGACAACAGCTCGCTCGACTTTAGTGAGACTACGAAATTGGCCAAGATTACTTCGAGGACTAGCTTCAAGGGCTTCCTCTACCGTCCCATGACTTCCTGAAAAACTCAATGGACATACTGAAATCCGTTAGAGATCCTTCAACTCAAGGTCGATTGGAGGTACAGATTTTTAAATTTTTTTCTGAATACGAGGTGAGCAAAACGTAAATATGTACAACTAGAACTTTTTCTTTAAAGGGACTCATTCCTCGGCAGCAACGGGTAGATTGACGCTGGGCAGCAAAGTTAGTCATGTCTGATGTCATAATACCATAAACCAAAGACAATTTGCAATAACTAAACTGAAAAAAAACATGAGATTTGCTCAATCTATCAACCCTAGCGTGAACAGGCTATTAATTTCAGCGGTATATTTCGTATAACGAAAACGAGCCAATTATGTTCAAAATTGATTGATGAGATTGGGTAAAATTATTTGTTTAGGGCTGAGAGGGCCAACTAGCTAGTAATATTAAACGGAATATCAAAATCGAGGAATATCAACGTCTTGCCGTCCCCGTCAGTATATTTACGGTATATTTTGATAATGTCATGGTATATTTAAGTATATTTCTGTGGGTCAGGCGGTATATTTTATTGATAAATGTTGTGGGTCTGTTAAACGATTGATAGTTAAGCCATCGATAGTTTTGAATGTAATTTTTGTAAAAATTAGATGCCACCTGTCGATTTGTTTACAAAATTGTCTTCGTATTTTAGAGCAGCCAATCCAAACATATCAAAAGCGCAACAACTGTAGCGCGATACTATCATGATAGTCGCAAAACCGTCGATAGTAGCGGATAGCAGCAAAACAACGATACTATCGATAGTGCCCTCGATGGTTTGACACCTCTAACGAAGCGGCATTTGTTCGAATTTAACTGTACGTGCGTCGTACGCCATGAAAAAAGCAAAAATTTCGATCTAGAATCTTGAAGTTTCATTGCCCAGTGTCTTTTTATGTAAATTGTCAATTGATTTGTGAATGTTTGAATGTGATAACACTTCAAGTTAAGCCCGAGAATGTCTGCGAAGAGTTCAATTCAGGTGTGCATTAAGGTGCGTCCCCGCGAGGCCGGCGATTCCTCTGTGTGGGAAGTGAAAGAAGGTCGGTCCATACATCTAATCGACAGCCAGGCCGATCCGTGTGTCTTCGGTGAGTGTGGAAATCATAGAGAGAACATTCAAATATCATAATGTTCCTATTTGCAGACTATGTGTTCGACCAGAATGCAAATAACCAGGAGGTGTTTGACCGCATGGCCAAGCATATCGTGCATGCCTGCATGCAGGGCTTCAATGGTACTATTTTTGCCTACGGCCAGACGTCATCAGGTATTTATACATCTCTGCACATGCACATGCACATATGTCTGACACACTGACACTCACACGCACACACATGCGAACTCCCTTCAGGCAAAACGTACACAATGATGGGCGACAACCAGAATCTAGGCGTTATGGTGCTCGCGGCCAAGGAGATCTTCAAGCAGATAGCTAACGACAACGATCGCGACTTTCTGCTGCGTGTGGGCTACATTGAGATCTACAACGAGAAGATCTATGATCTGCTGAACAAGAAGAACCAGGACCTCAAGATACACGAGGCCGGCAATGGCATTGTGAATGTGAACTGCGAGGAGTGCATCATAACCAGCGAGGCGGATCTGTTGCGATTCCTTTGCATGGGCAACAAGGAGCGCACAGTGGGCGAAACCAATATGAACGAGCGCTCCAGTCGCTCCCATGCCATCTTTCGTATCGTAAGTCTGCTTAAACTGATCTTCTGCTCCCCGGATCTCAGCTTCTGTTCTGTATTTGCAGATCATCGAGTCGCGCAAGAGCGATCGCACTGAGGACGATGCCGTCATTCAAAGTGTCTTGAACTTGGTAGACTTGGCCGGTTCCGAGCGGGCCGATCAGACGGGTGCGCGCGGGGCACGCCTCAAGGAGGGCGGCCACATCAACAAGAGTCTGCTGTTCCTCAGCAATGTGATCAAGAATCTGTCGGAAAACGTCGACAATAAGTATATAAGCTTCCGCGACTCCAAACTGACGCGAATTCTGCAGGCTTCGCTGGGCGGCAACGCCTTCACGTCCATAATATGCACCATCAAACCCTCGATAATCGAGGAGTCGCAGTCGACCATAAATTTCGCCATGCGGGCCAAAAAAATTCGCATTAAGCCCGAGGTGAACGAGATGGTCTCCGATGCCACAATGATGAAGCGGCTGGAGCGGGAGATTAAGGAGCTGAAGGATCGCCTGGCCGAGGAGCAGCGCAAGAACGAGAGTCAGCTTAAGGTGAAGCAGCTTGAGAACCGCATCCAGAACGACATGCACAAGATCATCACCAGCAACTCGCTGAACGACAAACGCCTGCAGAAGCGCCGCCGCACCTGGTGTCCAACCACCTCGATTCCAGAGGGTGGCCTGCCCACACCGCTGCCCTGCATCCCGGCCGAGCCCAGCAAGGAGCGGCCATCGAAGCTTTCGCAGCTGCCAAAGCCGGTTTTCTTTCCCAACTCTCACATCAGCCACCGTGCCGATAATGGTCCCAAGACAGTTAATATTATGAAGTCTCTGGACATTGGCACTGATGATGAGGAGTTCTCGCCAGCGGAGCTCATAGACTTTGGCTTGCGGCCATCGGATGAACTGAGGACGAAAGAGCACAGCAGGATGCTGCCAGCGCTGGCTCTCACGCCCAATATTGGGCAGTTGGGAGTGGCAAGGTAAGTAATTACAATTTTTCCCCAATGTATAACCACACCATCACCCAGCATGCACCTACTGCTCAACACACACACACACACACACACACACACATACACCTAACACTCTAATTCATTGTCTGCACATCATCGCATGGCTGATACTCTTTTGGGTAGCTTGGTGGAGAAAACGAAAACCGATCGCTTGGAGCTGCAAATGTTTACCTCGTTAGAGAAGCACTTTGATGGGGACTGGGAAAAGTCCCAGGCTCTGGCAGCGAAGTTGTCCGAGGTCACAGTCCAGCGGGATGAGCTAGAGTCAGAGAGCCAAATGAATGCACAGCGGTGAGTCCCACAAGCAATCGAAAATCAGACCGAAATTAGCATAAATTGGGAAGAGCTTGCCATACACATTTTATCACGAAAAATAGTCAAACAGTTCCTCTTGCCATCCGATCCGTTCCCTAAGAATACTCACTTCATACACCAAATACATTCAAAGGTCTAGTCTAGCAGAGCATTATAGCAACGTTTCATTGTCTTGTTTTAGATGCGATGCCCTGCAGGCCGAAGTACAGGCAGCCAATGCGAAGAACGTGGAGTACGAGGAGCAGCTAAAGACCTTGAAGGAGACCGTACAGAAGCTGGATCTGGAGAATCGTGAGGCTGTGAGCTTGGAGTTTGAGTATCAGTCGCACAAGACCAAGTCAAAGCTGCGTGAGACCGATCTGCTGTCGGCCTTGGCGGAGAAGGATTTGACCATAGAGAATCTGCAGAAAACTCTCGACGAAATGTCTCGCGATATTCTGCGCAACAGCAAAGAGGAGCAGATGCGCTCCCCCATACTGAATACATCGCTGCCCGAAACAAGCTGCAACAAGTGTCTGGAGTTGGAAGGGCTCCTAGCCGATGCCGACACCAAGCTGGCGAGCGTTCAGCTGGCCCTTAGCCAGAAGACGGCGGACTGCGAGCAACTCAACAGTCAAATATCCACAGACCATGACGACATGACTCTTCTGCTGGGAAAGTACGATGGGCTGGAGCAGAATTGTCACAGCCAGCAGCAGGCCATTCAAACCATGGAGGCAGACTACAATGTACTCCAACAGAAGTACCAAAAGCTGCAGCAGGAGTACGAGGATTTGGGACGAACCTCGAAAGCTTCCGCAGAGCAGTGCCAGCAGCTGGAGGCTGACAACACGACACTGCAGGCCGAGATAGTAATTCTCAAAGAGCGCGTGGAAGAAGCGCAGCGCTTAATCTTAGAGTCGCCTAATCCAAAGGCACTTGCGGAACAGCTCAAGGCGCAGAATGATGAGCTGAAAGCAGAGCTGTTGGAGGTGCAAACGAGCTATGCGGACATGCAGCGTGAATACGATTGCATGTCCAACCAGCTCATGGAGAGCGTACAGGAGTGTGATGTCCTTCGGGACGAGTGCAGCGCTCTGCGTGAGGAGCTCAAGCAGCGTGCTATGCCCAGCTATGACATCGAATCGATGAAGAGCTCTGGCGTCGGCACAGAGTGTAGTGAGGCCGATCTAGAGTCGGAGATAGACAGCGCATTTTTGGAGAAATTTGCCAGGCTGTCAGATTCGCTGCACGAGATCGAGCTGCAGCATCGCCCGGGCTGCAGTCGCCTCTTCAGGGCTACTAAGATTCATGAGCCCAATGTGCCCGGCCTGAAGCTCTGCCTCGAGTCTGCTACAGACATACACACCGTCTCGCACTCGCTCGATGATGATACAGTCGATGCCGTGTGCCTGAAGGGCGTGCTGCGACAGCACAGTTTCCAGATTATCAGGCTGACCCAGGAGTCTGCGCCCGTGCAAGATGAGCTGGAGCAGAGACGCCTGCTCGACCATATTGCCCAGCTGGAGAGTGAGATTGCGGAGAAGAACATGCTGATCGATGCCACAGAGGGCACCATCAACGAGATGCGCGAACAGATGACCAACCTGGAGTCGGCTCTACTGGAGAAATCGGTGATAGTCAACAAGGTTGAGTCGTATCAGCGACAGATCGAGTCCCTGGAAAAGCAGAATGCTGAGATAACCATTGTCTGTGAGGAGCTGCAGGAGAAGGTGAAGGAGAACACACTGAGCGAGAGTCTGATGCTAGCCCATGGCGACGACACCCTGCCCGGCAGCACATCCCCCTTGATGCTGCAGGACCAGGAGCCCTCTGAGATAGCTGCCCTCAAGGCATCCCTTACCGACCTAAAGGACAAAATCGCCGAGCTGCAAGACCGCGTGACCGATCAACTGTGTCAGATGCAGCAAAAAGACAACCAAATCGATCAGCTGCGTGCGGAAATTGAGGAGCTGAACGAACGCTGCATATCCATGGAGGTGAAGCAGGCTGAGCTGCAGTCCAATGCCAGCCAGCAGCAGCAGCTCCTGGAAAGACAAGCAGAGAAATTGGCAGACGATGTGCGCCGCATCGACCAGCTGCAGGAAACCAATGCAAAGCTCGTGGAGCGCAGCATCAAGGCTGAAGACTCCCTGTCGGAGATGCAGGAGCGTTTGCTGCACGACAATCGCATCGAGAGTTTGGAACAATCACTGAAGAGTGCCAGAGATCACAACGAGACTCTTGAAGAAGACCTGAAAAGTGCCAGGAATCACATCGAGACTCTTGAGGAAGACCTGAAGAGTGCCAGGAATCACATCGAGACTCTTGAGGAAGACCTAAAGAGTGCCAGGAATCACATCGAGACTCTTGAGGAAGACCTAAAGAGTGCCAGAGATCACAACGAGACTCTTGAGGAAGACCTAAAGAGTGCCAGGAATCACATCGAGACTCTTGAGGAAGACCTGAAGAGTGCCAGAGATGTGATAGACGCCAATGAGAAGCAGAAAACAGACGAACTGAATGCCCTTAAGCTCGAGTATCTTGACCAAATAGAGCGAAGCGAGACCGAATATCGCTCCAATTTCCACAAATACAACACGGAGTGGGAGGAGGGCAGGGAACGCTACGAACAGAGCGTGGCCAGGTTGATGGCAGACCAAGCTAAGGCTGCTGCTCAACACCAGGCAGAGCTGGAGGACATCAGGACAGAGCAGCACGTGGTCTTGGAACAGCTAAAGCAGGAGAAGCTCGAACTGGAGTCGCTGTACGCGAAGAGCCAGGAATTGGTGGATAAGCTACAATCGCAGCTAAGCGCCCGAGACCGCAACTCTACCGAACAGCTCGATGAGCTGGTAACATCCTCACAGCAGAGGATTCAGGAGCTTGAAGAGCGATGTGAAAGGTATACTTTGGACTTTGATCAGCTGAGTTCTAAGTGCCGCACTGACCTGGATAAGATGAACGAGGAGAAGATGGCCCTGCATTCCGAAATCAAAGAGGCGGATGCGCAGCATTCGAGCACTTTGGAGAAGCTTTATCTGCTGGAGCAGGAACTGGAATCCTTAAGCAAGCAGACATCCGCCGAGAAGGCTGAACTACTCGACAAAATCGAGACTTTCACCTCGAAGAACAGTGACCTCAATGAAGAACTGCAGCGGGTTCAAAAGAAGGCTCTGGCCTTTGACGACTTATTCTGCCAGCATCAGAGGTTGCAGGCGTGCTTGAGCGAGGCCACCGGGGTCAACATTACGCTAAGAGAACAAGTAGAGAGCCTTCAGGGCGAGCTAAACAGCTCCCAGAAAGAACAAAGCAAACGAACCGATGAAATCGAAGAACTTCGATCGAAGCTGAAGGGGGCTTTGGAAGCAAAGACCTCTGCGAGCACACAGGAGACTGTTCTGACCAATCAGCTACAGGAAATGGAGGCAAAGATGTGCAGTGAGGCAGCACAGCTCCAACGGGAGGTGGCAGAGCTGAAGAACTCAAGGCACGAGCTGCAGCTGAAGCTGGAATCGCTGCAAGAGAGCAACGAGAAGCTGGAGTCGAGCAATCAAGACCTAGAAGTGACAATGAAGAATGCCAGAAACCTACAAAGTTTGCTTGAAGAGGAACAACAACTGTGTTGCACTTTGCGCGACGCCTCCGCCAAACTGGAGCAATCCAATACGCAGCTTGTGGCTCAACTTAAGGAAAAGGATGCAGCTTGTGTATCCCTCCAGGATTCATTGTCTCAGCAGAAATTGGCAATCGAAGAAGCCAATAGGAAATGCTTGAAAATGCATCAGGAACGTGAGCAGGCTCAGCAGTCAGTGGAAGAACTCAAAAACGAATGTGAAACCCTGCAAACAACTCTGGTAAGTGATACATGCAGCATCTCCATTATCTTTATCCTTTCTGATTGATGGTTTTTGTTTTTTTGTTTTTGTTTCAGAAAACCAAAGAACAGCAGCTGTGCATGTTGACCACACAGTCAGAACACAATTTGAAGCTAGGGGATCAACTTAAATTGAGGGAAACAGAACGTGACGCTCTCCGCAACGCTTTAAGCGAGAAGGAGAAACTCCTTGAAGAAACGAATAAGAAATGCCTAGAAATGCGCCAGGAAATGAATGAGGCTAGGCAGTCAGTAGCTCAACTCAAGGCAAAGGATGCAGCCTGTGAGGTCTTCCAAAATTCCTTGTCTCAGCAAAAATTGGTGCTCGAAGAAGCCAATAAAAAATGCCTGAAAGCGCGGCAGGAAGCTGAGGAGGCTCGCCAGTCAGTAGCTGACCTGACCAAGGAATGTGAAAGGCTGCAAACGGCACTGGTAATACATGAAACTTCAATCTTCTTTCCTTTGTTTGATCGATTGGTATTTTTCCAGCAAACCATTGAGGCAGAACGCGATTCTTTGCGTAGTACTGTAGCCCAGCAAGAGCAAAGCCACGCTGAAACCAATAAGAAATTAAAGGAAATGCAACAGAAAGATGGAGACAGTCGCAAGTCAGTGGCGGAACTGACCAACGAATGTAAAAGGCTGCAAACGGCACTGGTAATACATGAAACTTCAATCTTCTTTCCTTTGTTTGATCGATTGGTATTTTTCCAGCAAACCATTGAGGCAGAACGCGATTCTTTGCGTAGTACTGTAGCCCAGCAAGAGCAAAGCCACGCTGAAAACAATAAGAAATTAATGGAAATGCAACAGAAAGATGGAGACAGTCGCAAGTCAGTGGCGGAACTGACCAAAGAATGCGACAGGCTTCGCACAACAATGGTAAGCGATTAAAGCACTTTCATTTTCCTGAACTTAATTAATGAATGCGATTTTCAGAAAACCAATGAGACTAGTTATCGCAGTGAAAGGGAACGCATAAACGCCACTGTGTCCAGTCTTTTGGAGGACAAACGAAACCTAGAAGAAAAGCTGTGCACTCTCAACGAAATCGTGGAGAAGCTGCAGGCTGACTTGACTGCTCTGCAGGGACTCAAAGCGAACGCCAGCAATGTCTCCTTTGAGTCCAATGCATCCAGCACGTCGCCTGCTTCCACAGATCGCCTTGCTGTGCCAAGGGTAAGTATTGAATAAGTCCATTTAAATGTTGAATCTAATGCCAGACCTTCTTTCCTGTGCAGAAATCAATTAGCTTTGAGTCTGACATGCGCAAGAGCCGACGCTTAAGCGTTCACGATGAGCGTCGCAGGCAGTCCTACTGGAACAATGTGCGTGACTGGGGGACCATGACGGATCCTGCGGGTGAGTTAGAGATGCCTGAGCACAGATTTGAACATCAGTAATCAATATTCTTGACAATTGCAGACAGTAATTGCAACTGTGTGGATCTCAACCGCAAGCTGCAGGACTACACGCGTGATCTCTTTATACGCGAGAGCCAGGTGACTGCGCTAAACATTGAGCTCAAAAACCATCCACTGAAGGAGGAGAATGCACAGCTACGCAAACGATTTTTGGAGGACCAGGAAAAAGCGCGTGCCGAAGTGAAACGTCTTAAGCTGAAGAATCAAGATCTCACTAGCGTGATCAATGACTTGACTGCAGCAGCAGCTGCATCAAATGCAACTGCGGCCAAAGGCCAAGCATGCAGAATAATCCCTGCGACGATCTCGGTGGATACACAGACGGAGTCTGCCTTGGAGAAGGTCCTGGAGAAGACAAACCAAAAGTATCAAGACGCGCTTCAACTGTGCCGATCCCGCTACTCTACGATCCAAGATTTGGAGCAGAGACTGAAGCAAAACGAAAATTGCGACACCTCCAACATGACCTCGCTCACAGCAGGTCAAATCAATGCACTCAAGGTACGTATAACGATGGTTTTTGGCATATCATTGAACATTGAATTATCCATATATTATTCATTCACAGACCCAATGTGAGTCGCAGAAGAAGGAACTGTCTGCCATGAACGAGAAGTACGAGTACGCGAAACGTGTGCTCAAGATGCGCAAGGATGAGGTGATCGATCTGCGTGAAAAAATCGCTGGCCTCGAGGCAGCCTTTTCAGCCAAATAAGTCATTAGATTATCGTAGTTTAATTTGTATATTTCTTTATGCCCGTATCAAGATCAAATCGTAATTCCATTTATTTATTCTGTGTGAAATCAAAACTTTCAATATTTTTGTGAGTATTTTTAAATGTATTTATGTATTATGTCATTAACTTTAGTATTGCAAGGTGGACATGTATCGAATACACAGCTACGCTGCCTACTGCATATTTCTGTACTAATCAAAAATTATACGGTCCCACATAAGAATTATATTTCCTGTTTATTTCTGTACGCCTAAGCTGATGAAGGAACAGAACGAAGAGTGGTGGACTGGTGGACTTGGGGCAATACCTACCTTTAAATTGATGCCCCCAACAATCTGTTGAGCAAATGATCATTGGATCAAATGTACCTGAAATTGAAGAAACGAAACCACCCAGCAAATATCAGATAACAGATAGAAACTCTATCTTCGTTCTTCATAACGCGGCTTTATTGTAATTTCAATAAATATTTATAACTTTCTAAGCACATGGATGTCTACTTATATTGCTTATGGTAACGACTTTTAACTAATTGCTTTTAAACTAAACATCTTAGCCGAATTGCATTAGCCTTAAATGCACTTCAAGCATAGGGAAATGCAATCTATTGCGATCTCTCGATCTCTCCATTGAGAGAGACAAGAAAGGAGACGTACATATCTAATAAAAACCGAAGGTATAAAACGAGGAGGGGAATAAATCAAAGAAAAGGATTAAACATATTCGCATGTACTTAGGGTTCTTCTTTATTCATTAGATTTTGTATTGTAGGCATAGCTAATTCTTTTAGGTATTCTCCAATCTAGTTTATTGTTACGTTTTGGACCTGGGTCCATTGAATACGCGAAACAAATGAAATGCATATTCGAGACGACTGCTGATTGCGATTGCAAACTTAAAAATAAATTATCCAAGTAAATTACATTTAAATTAATTGAGGTAGAAAATTACTAAAGTAACACATATGTTGGTCAATAAGGCAAGTTGGTTTGCGACTCTTGTAGAGTCTGTCTGTGCTCATCTTCGATTGAAACTAACCATAAACCTAGGACATAACTGAGGCATATTCGAACTAAAATACATACAGGAAACGCTGGGCCACGGCACTACTTACGACGAGTAGTGACATCTATCTACGGGGTGTGGGTGTGGGTGTGTCTCTTGCTTGCAGTGCTTCCACATATAAACTAATTAAATCTAATATTCCTTAAGTATCCTATGACTCTCTTCAAACGGAGCAGATGCTTGTTCACCTCTTCACCAGAGTCCCTCTCTCTCTCTCTCTCTCTATCTCTCTGTGTGTGTGGTGGTCTGATCTGAATGCTGAGTATGCTGAGGTATTCAATTCTCTGACAAATCCTAGCCATTGTCTGGGGGTTAAGTACAGTAGGTACTGGACAGGCAATCCGTTATATATCTGCATCTGTATCTTTAAGTGTGTTGTTCTGTTTGTGTGTGTGTGTGTGTGTGTGTGTCTCTATGCTAAATGTGCACTGTTTACCGTATAAGTAGTTGTATATATAAATTAACATTCACTTTTTCACGTATTGTGTGTATATATTGTGATCCATTGCAGATCCTTAATCTATTCTGTTTAATATTGGCAAGTTTCCTGTCCAACGGAACGCAGTTTTCTATATATAGTATGGATATAGACAGGACGAGGACGAGGACAGGGGGACAGGACAGGACCAGTCACAACTCATGGAAGTCTAAGGTATTTCGAGGATTAAACGCACACACAAAACTCATTCATCTGCGGCTGATGCTGCTGCTGATTCTGCTGAGGTAGTTCGGTTGAGTTGGTTTCGGTTTTGCTGAGTGTGTTCCTGAGTGAGATATGGTGAGCACTGTGAATCAATGGAGTGGCTAGACTTGGAACATGGAAGGCTGTTACTTGTATGCTTATATCATAGGTAGAGGGCATACTCGCTCGGACTCTAGCTGTGGCATGCATGGCACATCTGAATTATCCGCTGTCGTCTGCTTACAATAAAACATTTCAATTTCCCTAACATACTTTAAATGCGACGGATCGGTTCTGGGAGGGGGCGGGGGCGGGTGCCCAACTACAGGTATTTCTTAAATGTATTTACAGGCTGCTTTCTTCTTCGCTTTCAATGTGAAATCTATCTTACAACTAAATGGGTTGGGGCGGGGTGTTTGCTTTCTCCTGTCGGAACATCTCAATTGTATACACAACACAGGTACATTTGTACATATATACATATGTATGTATGTTTGTATGTATATATATAAATATCTGTATAGGTAGTTTAAAAAGCACAACATCGAATTTCTACTATAGGCGGCCAGCTCTGGCAGCGGCACAAATATGATTTTTGTTTTGTTTTTTTTTTCTAGTCCTATTTTGCGTATCTCTATCGTATTGTATATCGTATTGTACACATAAACTGGTATACATGGGGGGATAAGGCTACTCGTTACATATGTTCCATGGGTATTCGGTATACAACTGTTCGACACTCTCCATCCATTCTGGCGCTGCTGCTCTGGGCTGGCCTTATGTATTGTGCACGCCCTCATCCTCGGAATAGTTCTCTTCGACATCCGAATTGGCCACCTCATTGTTGCTGCCCGACTGATTGTTGTCCAGGCCCAGATCCATGGGCTCTGAACCCTCTCTCCGCAGCTCCCCGTCATTGTCCGCCTCGTCCATGTCATGGCCGTGCATTCGGCCGCCGGAGTTCAGCGCCAGCGGTCCTTGCGCTGCATCCGGATCGTGTCGCAGAATTGGCTCTATCGACAGGCCCGGCCCGGTCTGGCCAAAGGCGGGATTACCGGCGGCCAGCTTGCTCAGATCGAACTGTCCGGGCAGCAGGCCCGGCGGCAGGCTGTCCAGACTGTGTCCCATCGCATTCAGCTGCGCCATCTTGGCCCGCAGCGCCGCTGCTGCAGCCTGTTCCTGGGACATGCCCATGCCTGGAGGCGAACAAGAGAATATTGTTATTGAAAGAGTCCCACCATAATGGGGAAGAGCGACTCCAGCACTCACCGAAAGTGTTCTCTGTGATGAACTGCAGGTAGGTGTCCAGCAGGGACTGTCCTGCAGCATTGCTGGTGGGTATCTGCACGCCCAGATCCTTGGGCTGGCCCAAGGCCACCGCGGCCGCCGCTGCCTCGTTGCGCATTCGGGAAATGGTGGTGTTGGCGTGCCCGAAGTTGCTCAGGAGACTCTCGTGGTAGCGACTGAGGTCGCTGTTGCTGCCACCCATGCCGTAGAGGCCATTGCCCACGGTCAGGTCCTCGGGATCCTCGTCGGAGTCCTCGCCATCGTCCAATGGTCCACCGCTGGCGTTGCTCAGATCCAGCTTGCCCGCACCACTGCCACCGCCGCCTCCTCCCGCCGCCGCCGCCGCCGCCACCGCCGCTGCTGCCACTGCCGCCGGTGGGCGAGGCACGGGCACGCAGCTCCGCGGGCGATATCTTGACACCGGCCTTGGCCAGCAGCCGCGAGGCCAGGTCCGGATCAAAGGGGCTGGGCATGGGCAGCACGGGCAGGTCCTTGGTGGAGATGCCGCGATGCTGGCGCGACATGTGCGAGTGCAGCGAGTTGCGCGACTTGGCCACAGTGCCGCAGAGCACGCACCGGTAGCCGGGACAGACGGTATGCTTGTCCTCCAGATGGGTGCGCAGGGTGTGGGCCGAGCGGTAGATCTTGCCGCATTTCGGGCAGGGCCTCGGATCGGTGGCACGCACGCGCATCTCCAGGGATCTTCGGGACACTAAACAGAAGCAGAACAATAATATTCAGCATTAGATTTATGATTTATGATTTACGATTTACGGGTCTCGTTTAGAGTTCAATGAAAAGGCAGCTCGTCTTCGTTTGCTCTTTATTGTTCACCAAAATATATTTGCCATCTCCAAACACATATCCTCCTCCTCCCATAGTCGGCCGCTCTGCACACCACACGTTGCAGATACACGGTACACACACTTGCAGTACAAGATACATTTTGCATGTGCCCCATCAAACAATTTGCAAACTAAAATGGCATACGAATCGAACCGATGGACGTACTCATCCCATGCACAGATTTCCGCGCACGGATGTTCCATCAGTTGTGTGTGTTGTTGTTGTTTTTTTTCTCTCATTTTTCTCATTTTTCTATATGCTTTATAAACTACAATTGTAAAATTGTCCGCTTCGAAATGGAATTTATATATATTTAATCGAGCCTCAAAGTTGTTCGATTTCTTGCGCTAGTTTTTGCTCAAGTTTTCGGGGTTTTTAGTTTTTGGTTTTTTCTTTCTTTTGATTAACATTATAGGAACCTTTTTACGTATGTTTTTCGTCTGCTCTTTTGTAGTACTTAAAGCCAGCGGCCGCCAATCGAATGGAATCGAAATCGAAATCGAAAACACACAAAACAAAAAATCATCCATCAATTTTGAACTTTTCTCTAATACAAATCGGATTTTCTTTTGCTTCTTTTTTGGTTTTTATATTCAACTTTAGTTTAGTTTACTTTTCGTATTTTCTGTTTTCTTATTTACTTGTTTTTCTTTTTGTTTTTGTTTGGCTAAAAATATATTATGCAGGCACATTCTATTTTGTTTCAGTATCAATATTCATAATATAACTACATCATCGCTTGTTTTTTTGTTTATATATATATATATTTATCATATATATATTTTGTGATTTGCTTGGTTTTAGCTCATTATCTACATAGTTTCTGCAACCTCTCTATGGCTTACATCATACATACTCGTACATACGTCTGCTTATGTAATTCTATCAATTAATATTATTATTCTGGTTGTGTTCTTGTTTTTTTGTTCTTTTTTTGGTATTGGTTTTAATCATAATACTGCACATATTTTTACTGGAGTTTACTTGGAGTTTTATTCTACAGATTCTTTGCCCTGTCCAGCAATTCAAAGTTGTTGGAATTTCATTATTAATTGCCTTCATATTTTTCTTCATTGGGTAAACATAGCCAGAGCCTTTAGTTGTCTGCATTTTAATATACTATATGGAATATAGGAACGTAATAATTGTTTTGTAAGTATCCTAACCCAAAAGCGATCGTCCACCTGTCTGTCCGCTAAGAAGCTTCTCTGGACTCTAGACTCCATCTAAAGCTCATCATTCTGCTGCTGCGCTTCCTTCTTCCTGTGAGTGATCTATACCGAATTAGATTTGCATAGTTTCGATCATGGAAGCGTATGAAACTGCTTGAAACCATTCCATTATCATCTTCTGTTTATTCTTGCTGCAGCTATGGCGAAGTTTGTTGAATTATTTACGAATAAATGGATTTCAAATGTGGATTAAGTTCCTTTAATAAGGAGAGCTCAAACGCGGGCTGAGTCTCCAAAGAATCTTTATTCCTCAGCCACAGGGAGAACTTCTAATTATCCTCCATTTTCCAGCTATGATTTAATTTTTGAGTAGATTTTAAATGAATATTTTTAGGAATTCCTGAAACTGACTGAAACCTTTTTGTGTGCTAGAGCCAAAAGAAGGAAGTGAGCAACAAAGGATGGCATGGCTGACTGTTGGGAGGCGTCCACTGGACCCTGGGCCAGTAGTTGGCCTATAGGAAAGGATCCAGGGAGCGCTAACACATACTAGTGGATTTCGCCTTTGACTGGGACCTGGACTACTTTTGGCTATCTACCATAGATTTGCGAGTGTGTCTCGAGATTGGGTGTTAGAGTTAGATTCGATTTATTGTCGCCATTGTGTGACTGAAAGCAGCAACCTAGAAAGCTTTACGGGGTGTTGTGAGTACGGGGTATTAACGAGTATTACAGGGCTAGCCCGCGACACTAGTGGGCCGGCTCGCAGTTTCATTTGAAGTCGGGCCCGCCGGCAAAGGGGCCGCCCGACGAGCGCATGGCCTTCATCTTGGCCCACTGGAGGGTGTGCTTGATGCGCATGTGATTCCGCACGGAGTTGGGATGGGCAAAGCGCCGTCCGCACTCGATCACCGGACACACGGGACTGTCGCGCGGGTAGTGCCGGTCCAGATGCTGCCGGAAGACGCGCTGCTCCAGCGGCGTCTCGCACAGCGGACAGGGCAGCATATAGTTGCTGCTGCTGCCGCTGCTGCTTGGCCCCCCGCTGCCTGCTGTGCTGCTGCTGCCCGGCACAGGTCCCGGTCCTGGACCAGGCACAGGACCTGCACCCGGTCCGGGTCCACTGCCGTTCCCCGGACTCACTGTGGCCGCCGAGGCGACTGTGGCACTGGCGGCTGCTGCAGCCGCAGCTGCCACGGCCGCCGCCGACGTGTTCTGGAAGAGTTCGGGAAAGTCCCGGGACCGGCTGAGCGCAATGGTGCGGGCCATGAACAGATTGGCGGTCAGCTGCTGCTGGTGCGACACGGACACGGACTGTTGCAGCTCGTCCAGATATTGCTGCTGCTGCTGCTGTTGCTGCTGCTGTTGGGCTGCCTCGTGCCGGGAGTGCTGCAGCTGCTGCTGCTGCTGCTGTTGCTGTTGCTGCTCCTGCTTCAGCAGCAGCGTCTGATAGAGGGTGGACTCACTGGACTGCCGTGTCCGTTTCATGGTCAGCGATATGGCCGAGGAGGCCGACGACGAGCGATCATCCTCGTCGTCGTTGTTGGTGTGGCTGTTCTGGTTCTGGTTCTGGCTCTGCAGGGGATGCTCCTCCGGCTCGTGCTCCTCCTCGCTGTCGTTCCAGGATCGCGCCGAGGGCGTCGGCGAGGAGTTGGCCGAACGGTTCCGCTTCCTCTTGTTGTGGTTGGTATTGGAATTATTGTTGTTGTTATTGTTGTTGTTGTTGTTGTGGTTGTGGTGCTGGTGAGGATTGTGATGGTGGTGCTGGTGGTGCTGGTGGTGGTGGTGCGCAGGATGATGATGATGATGCGGCTGATGGCTGCGCCGCTGCTCGAACAGCTGCGACAGCTGCGGCCTCTGCATGATCTTCGCCAGCTTACTGGCCCCCGGCCGTCGATCCGCGGCATGTGCCTCATGCGGCTGTGGCTGTGGCTCCTCCTCCGCCTCCGCCTCCGGCTCGATGGCCTCCTGCTTGATGCTGTTCTTGGCACTCAGGAATGTTCCTGCGTTGATCGGCAAGTCCAGCACGCGGTTGGGAGAAAGTCGGGAGGAAGTCAATGTGAAATCAAAAATCAGAAGCAAGCTAAAGTATATTCTCTGCACTCAGTTCGATTGCTGCATCCTTCAAATTTTGATGTACAGTGTGAATTTTGAAGGGGGAGGATTGAGGATTCGTCTGTGTGTGTGTGTGTGTGTGTGTGTGTGTCTGGGTTATAGAGATCTTCGGCTGCAGCTTCCAGGGATAGCAGCAGCAGCAACAACAACAACAGAACAGCAGAACTGAATCAAAACCTTCTTTACAGTTTCCCAATTTATGTTTTTTTTTTTGTTTGTTGAGTTTTTCTATTTATTCTCAGAGTGCCAATTTGTTGGGGAATTTTTCATATTTCATATGTTTTTTTCAACATTTTCATAGAGTGCCAATTTCGGTGTCTTCTCTTCAGTTCTTACAGTTAGGATTGCTTCATTTATGCGCTGACACACACACGGATCAAAGTCAAAGTTTAAGCCAATTTTTGTTGCCTTTTTCTTTTGTTGTTTGATTGTTGGAGCCAATTACAGCATATTTATAGGCATAGGATATATCTTATTGCATATAAAAGTTTAAGTAGGATATCACAGATATAGTACGTTGCAGGCAGGCAGGCAAATACATATTCAAATTATACATACAAGAATATAGAGTACAAAAAGTGCAACAAATAAAAATCATATATTTTATTTACATAAATTATTACGCGCTTTGGCAGTGAAACGCACAAATGGGTTGGGGGATTATTTCGATGGAAATTCGAGGGTTTTATCTAGCAGAATTTTGGATGGGGTATTTTCTAGTATTTATAGTTCGTGTTGCTTTGAAGTAAAGGAAATACGGTGCGTGGAAAAAACTATAAACATGCATGTGAAATGGGAGTAGAAATTACAGTCAGGCTCTATTTATCGTTTATTGAATGCATACATATATCCCACAGATAATTTATGTTAAAGGAATATATGTATATCCCATAATATTTTATTCCAATATAATCCTTAGCAAGTGCCAAAATTCAAACAAGTTTAAGTGAATTTATTTGATAACAACGATCGCTAAAACTTCAGTTCTCCGGCTATCATATGACACCGAAATGCGCCGTATTACTCCGCCGTAAAGGTATAATCCATGCATAAAGGGTGGAATAAGGAAAGTGGTGGATTGTTGGACTGCTAGCTGCATGATGGGCAATGGGGGAATGAGACTCGGGGCTTGGGACATGGCGCATCGCGTGCCACAGAACCATTGCCGATTGGACGTTTGGACGGGACGGCCGTACAACTTTATATGCTATATTCCATATTCTATATGCGGTGTCTGTATATCCGTGTGGCGTGCAGAAACACACCTGGCCTCAAAGGCAGATCCATCTTCTGCACTCCTGGCACTCGCACTCCACGCTCCCATTTACCATTCTGATGCCGTTTCCATATTCGATAATAATAAATATTGAAAAATAAAACGCAATTTAATGTAGAGAAAATTGCCAAGGCTCAGGCACACAGCACACAGCCCCCAAAAATATTGAGTCATTTTTTGGATGGCCAGAGATTTGCATAGGTGGTTTGGGGTTGGGTGGGTGTTTATGGGTGCGGGCCATGCATGACGCAAGGCGAGACCCCAAAAACTGAAATCAAATTAAACAATTTAGTTCTGCCTTTG